CAAACCACACCCAACCCAAACACAAGACCCAAAAACCCCCCCCCCCCCCACTCTTCACTTCCCTTCTCTGCTTCCCTCGGCCGCCCTTCGATTGTCTACTTCCACGTTCCGCCGGTGGGGTCCTAGAGGCCACCACAATGACTTCGCGTACGCCAAGCATCCCGACTCCATTCGCGGAACATGATGTGTGCTAAGGGTGTATATACATATAGTCAAGCAGTTCATCCGGAACGTGCGCGCTGCCAAAACAATCGCCGACGAGCGGGCGGTAGTGCAGAAAGAGAGTGCAGCCATCCGTGCAAGCTTTCGAGAGGAGAGCCACGACTCGAATGTGAGGTGTGTCTGCCTTCACTCCTCTTGCCTAGCCAGAGATCACATACTCATGATGCACCCAGGAGAAACAATGTCGCAAAGCTACTCTATCTCTTCACGCTGGGGGAACGGACGCATTTTGGACAGATAGAATGTCTGAAGCTGTTGGCCTCGCCGCGCTTTGCGGACAAGCGATTGGGCTACTTGGGCACCATGCTGTTACTGGACGAGAACCAAGAAGTCTTGACCCTGGTTACAAACTCTCTGAAAAAGTACGTGGCTGCCAGAGTGGTCTGCAGTGCGACAGTTAACACGAGTGTAGCGATTTGAACCACCCCAACCAGTACATCGTTGGCCTCGCTCTGTGCACCCTAGGCAACATCGCTTCTGTCGAAATGGCCCGAGATTTGTTCCCAGAAGTCGAGACAATTATAGCAAGCGCCAACCCATATATACGACGAAAAGCAGCTCTCTGCGCCATGCGAATCTGCCGAAAGGTCCCTGATCTACAAGAACATTTCCTGGAGAAGGCCAAGTTGCTCTTGCAGGACCGCAACCATGGAGTACTCTTGTGCGGAATCACGCTGGTAGCGAACCTTTGCGAGGCCGATGAGGCCGATGACGACGAACAGGGCGTCAGGGACATGTTCAAGCCAGTCGTCCCCGCGCTGGTCAAGATCTTAAAGGGCCTCTCTTCGTCCGGCTATGCTCCTGAGCACGATGTGACGGGCATAACAGATCCTTTTCTCCAGTGCAAACTCTTGCACCTACTTCGTGTCTTAGCACGTGGCGACGCAGAGGTCAGCGAACAGATTAACGATATCCTTGCCCAGGTATGTGCTGCGCGGAATTCATTTGGATTCCAAGCTGATTTGCATAGGTTGCAACCAATACGGACTCCTCTAAGAATGTTGGAAACTCAATCTTGTACGAAGCAGTCCTCACCATCCTTGACATCGAGGCCGACTCAGGCCTTCGTGTGCTAGGTGTCAACATCCTTGGAAAGTTCCTGTCAAACAGAGACAACAACATCCGATATGTTGCTCTCAATACCCTTATCAAAGTAGTAGCGGTTGAGCCAAATGCTGTTCAGCGACACCGTAACACAATCCTGGACTGTCTGCGAGATCCTGATATCAGCATTCGGAGAAGGGCGCTTGACCTAAGTTTTACACTCATCAACGAGAGTAATGTTCGGGTCCTAATTCGTGAACTGCTTGCTTTCCTAGAAGTTGCCGACAATGAGTTCAAGCCTGTGATGACATCACAAATTGGCATCGCCGCAGATCGTTTCGCTCCCAACAAACGATGGCACGTTGATACCATGCTACGCGTCTTGAAGCTCGTGAGTCGTCGTTGTTAACGAATAAGGTGTGACGAACTAACATGTGAATAGGCCGGAAACTACGTGAAGGAACAAATATTATCCTCATTCGTCCGACTGATCGCCACCACTCCTGACCTACAAACATATTCTGTTCAAAAGCTCTACGCTGCGCTGAAGGAGGATATCACGCAAGAAGGTCTTACTCTTGCTGGTTCTTGGGTCATTGGAGAATATGGCGATGCACTCCTACAGGGAGGCCAACCTGAAGAGGAAGAGCTTGTTCAAGACATCAAGGAAAGTGACATTGTCGAACTCTTTGAGACAATTCTTGGCAGCAGCTACGCGGGTCTTGTTGTTCAACAGTACATTGTCACAGCCTCGATGAAGCTCACCACTCGGTTGAGTGATGCGGCCCAAATCGAGCGTCTTCGGAGATTACTACAAAGATATGCAGTAAACCTCGATGTAGAAACCCAGCAACGTGCAGTTGAATATGGTAATCTCTTCGGCCATGATCAAATTAGGAGGGGGGTTCTCGAGAAGATGCCAGCGCCTGAGATCCGCGAAGAGTCAAGAGTACTTGGAGAAGCGACCAAGAAAAGGCATTCGAAAGTCATCAATAAGAAGAAGCCTGCACAAGCAGCAACAGAGGACCTGTTGCTCGATCTGATGGGTGATTCAGGCCCATCAATGGAAGCGAATGGCGCCGCCAATGGCACTCAGCACAGCCAAGACCTTTTGGCAGACATTATGGGAGGAGGGCCTTCCAATTCGTCGCCTCCTCCCGCCTCCTCAACGCCTCAGTCGAATGTTGCGAACATTATGGATTTGTTCAACTCCGGACCATCGAGCTCTCCTGCACCTTCACAATCAAGACCGCCTCCACAGGCTGCATCTATGGATCTGGTCGGAGGACTCGGTGGCATATCATCGCCGCCTCCTCAAACGTCATTACCGTCTGCTGCTTCTGGCCCACCCGCACATCCAGCATACAACAAGAATGGTCTTCAGATCACTTTCCAACTGAAGCGAGACGCAAACGCTGTACAACTCCTGGCACGATTCCGCAACACAGGCAGCTTTGCCCCGCTCTCGGGAGTAAACTTGCAAGCCGCCGTACCGAAAAGTCAAAAACTACAACTACAACCCATCAGCACAACCGAGCTAGACAGTGGCCAGGACGCGACACAACAAATGAGAGTCACATCCGTCAATGGAGTAAGTTGCTTTAACTCTTCCAACATGCAAGGTGCTAATGATGCTGCAGCCACCACCGGCAAGGCTGAAACTACGGCTCAAGGTTACATACTCGGCCAGTAGCGGATCTATTACTGAACAAGTGGACTGGGCCGAACCTATGTAGGCTTACCAAATGTGCGCGAGCTTACTGTAGGGGCAGTACAATATGAAACTGAATGCAATGCACGATGACTTCTTGACATATGCCATGATGGCCACCATGACACATTTGTCTCAGTCTGATTGCGGGATTGACTGGCTCGTGATGTCTGAAGCGCTGGCGGGCCGGGGCGGGGATAAAGTGCGGGATCAACGGCGCTACAAAAGCTTGGCAATCGAAAGCATGATCGCCGCCCGCCTGTTGCAGCTCTCTCATCCTTGGCAACTGCAGAAGACAGTGCCCCTTTTGGTAGCGTGCCATGCAGCGTGCCATGCAATTCCAAGTTTGTGAACATGAAGCATGCTCTCTTCTACTCGGTCGACGACTATCAGTTACGCTGCAAAGAAGGGGCCGACATGAGACCGGCTTGCTTGTCTAGACTTCAGCCAGGCGCTGAACTTGCGAGCGTGATCGCAGCATGGAAAAAGAGTGTGTATTCGTCATCCCACATGTAGAGCTGACTATCTACAAAGTAGTTCCCTCGATAAGCAAGCTACTACAGTCATTTGCATGTCAGTTGTTTACACTTGGGCAGGTGGCAGAGACAAAGTCATGCGATCTCCTTCGTGCAGCCTGCTCTGCATCCACCTACTACATCTGCCACTCACGGTGACTCGCCGCACAGTAGGTGATAGCTGTAAGCAGTGCGTATAGGAATTGGTATTGCTGCTACAAATTGAATGTCTATACCAAAACTAGTGTTATAGTAGAGTAGGTTTGAAAGTGGTGTTCTATGATCGACCGATCGATCTATCAATCTGGTGCCAGAAATCAAACGTTGCCGCCCCTCACGCTGCCTAGATCGGTCCCACCATGGTGTAATGATGGCCGGTCAAGCTGCATAGTAGCTGATCCTATCCCATGAATCAGTCGCACTACCGGTAACTGGAATCAAACGGCTAGGCAAAATGATGCAAACTTGCAACTCCTAAGCTGGGAGAATAGTCATGCTGAGTAGATATACTGTCCTCTTACTAGGCCTTGCATACGGGAGTGACTACCTACTGTAACTCCCCTTATGATAAGACTTGTATCCTACTAAATTCTACTAAGGATCGAGTGTTGCATATCACTGACTACGTGATACTACCGTAAATGGGTATTAGAGTTTAGCTCGTAGAAGACTAATAAATTTGGTAGATGATAAAACCCCATCTTGAATTCTTGTTTTCGCAGTCTTTTCAGCCAAGGACTAACTAACCTACCTATTTCACCTACTACCCAAGCTGCCCTACCATTGCAACTTGTGATTGGCGTAGAAGTGAATTCTCCGAGTCACCGCCGTAGTACCATGTCTCGTTTAGATATTTGCAGAAGTTTGCTGCGCCGCAAGCGTCCGTTCCGCGATAAAGTGAATCCAGCGATGCGGTATGGTACGCCCTAATTTCCCAATCACTGTACTTTATATTCGGTGCATGGACATTATTGTCAGTTTGATATTTCATCTCTTTTGCTAGATCCCATCATCTGAACGATGACTCTCTCTTTCGACGAAAGCAGCGCAAAAGACTTGGGCAGATGAATCCTGCAGGCATCAAGGAAGAGGCTCCAAGTCCAGCAACAACCTTGCAATAGACGTAATGCAGTAAGCTCACAAGACTCATGGACATCAGTCCAATATTGAATCCAACGTTGTCACCTTCTTGTTAAGATCGCCGTCATGTGCAGTTGGCACATGCCTGTCCCCAACCCGTTCCAAGATCTGCAGTAGCGGGGGTCCCCACTCCTCTCGACTATGGTGATAACTACAAGCACGTTGGAAAAGCTGGGACAAACGGCTTTGACAGTGGGTCATGCTGTCATCTTAATACATTTAGCTTCCTTTTGGGAATGGCTCAAAGTCTGGGGTGCCATATCACAGTCCTCGCACCGGCATCACCGGGATGATAGGCAGAACCACACCCGTTTGTTGTGGATAGTTAGCACCCCAGCTGCAAACACAGGGCTTTTGCAGGCTCAACATATATAGTGTGGCTTTATGCTGGTTCGTACCTTTTTTTTTAACCCGGCATACTCTTCTCCTGCAGTCTGAGTCATGTTTTGTTTACCGTGCGTAGGGTTCGGAGCTGCTTGCTTCTCACTGGTATCTGCGCTGCCTTCCAATCGGCCACAAGACTTGCACTTCGAAAATAATGTCAGGAGGCAGGAAGGAAGTTTGGAGCGAGCGCAGGCTGTCGTTGACACTTTCAAACTGAGCTGGGAAGGCTACTACAAATATGCGTTTCCGAACGATGAACTCAAGCCTGTAACAAATGGCTTCAGCAACTCAAGGTGATTAGTACCATAACCCGCGATAACCGGCAGAAGAGCAGTCTCCATTCTAACATACGACCTAAAGGAATGGATGGGGTGCGTCAGCAGTCGATGCACTATCCACCGCCCTTGTCATGGGCGAGAAGGAGATTGTGAATCAAATCATCGAATTTGTCCCCACGATCAACTGGAGCGAGACGTCAATCGATGTGTCGCTCTTCGAGACCACCATTCGCTACTTAGGTGGCATGCTCTCCGGCTACGACCTTCTCAAAGGTCCATTGGCAGACCTAGCAGAAAATCAAGACAATGTCGATGCGCTCCTCACACAGTCAATCAATCTCGCCAACAACCTCAGCTACGCCTTTGAAACGCCCAGCGGCATGCCCCATAACAATCTCGACTTCTCAGACCGTAGCTACGTGGGCAAGACAACGGGACTCGCAGTAGCAGGAACTTTGATCCTCGAATGGACACGCCTTGCCGATTTGTCTGGAAACCAAACCTACGCTGACCTCGTGAACAAGGCGGAACAATACCTCCTTAATCCGACGCCTGCATCTTCCGAACCTTTTCCAGGACTCGTAGGTACTGATATCGACGTAGCAACCGGAGCTTTTCTCGACGCTGCCGGAGGCTGGATAGGTGGCGCAGACAGCTTCTATGAATACCTGATCAAGATGTATGTCTACAACCCTACCACCTTTGCTGAGCTGCGCGATGCCTGGATCCTCGCTGCAGACAGCACAATGGAGTATCTCACCTCGCGTCCCGTCCCACGACCCGATATCACCTTCGTCAGCACCTACGACCGCACCGAGACGCAGGCCAGATCCCAGCATCTCGCCTGCTTTGATGGCGGAAACTTCATTCTCGGCGGCCAAGTCCTGAAAGAGGTGAAATATATCGACTATGGACTTGAGTTGGTGAATGGATGCCACGAAACGTACATACAGACGGCCACGCGAATTGGACCGGAATCCTGGTCTTGGAACGAAACCACCGTGCCCGCAGATCAGTCCTCCTTCTTCAGCACCACGGGCTTCTACATTACAGATTCGGGCTACCAATTGCGACCCGAAGTCATTGAGAGCTATTACTATGCCTACCGCGCCACTGGCGATGCAAAGTATCAGGACTGGGCGTGGGATGCTTTTGTCGCCATCAATGCGACGACGAGGGTGGGCAGCGGGTATTCGAGCATCAGCGATGTGAATGAGGTTGGGGGTGGCAATCATACGAATTTCCAGGAGAGCTTTTGGTTTGCCGAAGTGTTGAAGTACAGTTACTTGATTCAGGCGGGCGAGGTAGAGTGGCAGGTGGGTAAGGATGGGGTTAATGAGTGGGTGTTCAATACCGAGGCGCATCCCGTGAAGGTTAGGAAGACCTAGTGTGAGGTATCTTGTATAACGGTTTACGTAGAGGTACTTTGTACAGGCGGGTGCGGAGAACAGATGGGCAACTTGTAAATGCGCGCTCATTCGAAGAAACCTCCGTCACTATCGTTCTCTTCTTCTTGCTGTTGTGCAACCTGTGCCCTCCTTTCGCGACGGTTACCTCCTACTACTCTGAGATTAGCTCCGGTGGCCTTTGGCTTCACGAATGGCTTCTTTGTCTGCTCCTTCTTTGGTGCAGCGGGTATCCCCTCCTTGCTGTTTCTCAGCGCGTCGAGTGTGCCCTCTTCTGTGGCTACCTCGACCTTCCGCCACATATCCAAGTCGCCTTTCGGTCCATCAACCTCCTTGCTGCTCTTCCCTTGCGCATCTGAGTCATCGTCGCTTGCGCCTGCGGGTTTGTCCTTCTTCGACTTGGGGTACATGGACGAGTATGGCTTCATGAGCGGGTAGTATATCGCATAGTTGACGTCAATCTCTGCATTATGCACGCGCCGCCTCAATTCCGCTTTCTTCTCTTCATCTTCCTCAGCTGCATGCTCTTTCTTCAACCGCTTAAGTATCCTCGTCGCCTTTTGGCGGTCTACAACAGATTAGCATGACCGTCTTCCGTGGATTTTCTTCTTCAACTCCACAGACTGCGAGATTACTAACCAAAGAATCGCACTTGATGATATTTGCCAATCATCTTCTGTCGATACGCCGCCTCTCTGCTTCCCTCGATCTTCTCCTCCAGCTCGTGCTCACACGCCTCTAATTCACGCTCTCGTTCGATCCGTGTACTCGCCGACATCTTGTGATCGCCTACATGGTCCACATGCGCAAGCAGTCGCTTCAAGTCCCGTATCCGACTTTTCAGCGCGTGAATGCTGGGGCCGCTGTCCGAGTCGTGTTTTATTTGCGGTCGTTTGCGCTTGTGTGGTGCGTCGCTGCTGCCCACAGGCTTGAAAGGGCGGAATTTCTTTGATGGACCGTTGGTCGTATCGCCGTATTTGCGTTTTTGCGACATTTTGTTGTTGGCGTGTCTGGTGATGCTTCCTGAGAGAGATATCAGATGTAGATAGACAGCAGGACGGCTTTCGTAGCCGGGGAAAGTTTTAGCGGGGCCGGGGCAGAATTCACGTCACCGCCCGACAGGATGCCAAGCCAGATCACGAGTCCCTGCCTTCACCCAGTGCATATCTGATTGGCTCTTTGGCCTCTATCCAGTATCCCAGGGACGGCATGTACTATCTCTTTTGTATCTTACACTTAATCCTAATGTCACCATGAGCCTCATTCGCCACTGATATATCCCCAACATTTACCACTGGTGTACCGCGGCTTCGTGGTACCCTGCTCATTACCATGGAAGCGGCAATCCGATGGTCACCTCACTCCACTCGGGAAGACCCACGTTTCCTCATCATCGATGTCGCCGGCAATCGCCTCCGTCTCTGCCAAATTGACTCTTTTGCCAAAGCTAAAGTCTCGTATCGTCAAATATGCATCCGTGACAAACTCCCCAACTATACCGCCTTCGATTGGTCCAAAAAGGATCCCAGTATCGTCGCTATTGGATCTGCGTCTGGAGAAGCCACTCTTGTGACTTTGGACCCTGATAAGCCGGATACAGACTACACACACTCATTCTCGATTCGACACCAGAGGAAGTGCAATTCTATTGCTTTTAGCAGTAAGAATTTACTTGCTACCGGGTTGGATCGCGTGAGGAACGATGTTTGCTTGAACATCTATGATATTAACGATTCGCGGTTTACGTCCAGAGATGAGCCGTACAAGAAGCTCGCAAGCTCCGAGGCGGTATCAAGCATCAAGTTTTTTAATGGTCAGCCAGATACACTTGTTGCGGGCGTATCGAGACAGTATCTCAGAATCTATGATCTTAGAGGTAAGCCTTTGTGGGACTTGAGACGAGGGACATTGCTTATGAGGTGTAGACTCTGGCACAACGGGAATCGCCCAGTTCCAGACGAGGCAGGTGCACAATATTGCCATTGATCCTTTGGATGAAAACTACTTCCTTTCAGCTGGGACAGCTGGAGATCCCACGGTCACAGTATGGGACACGCGGTTTGTGAAGCAACGAGGGACATCAAACGACGCTGCGAACACTGGTGCTGTTCTGGAGTTCAAGCCAATTGTCGACAATCCCCAGTCTACGTCGATTTGGAGTCTACGATATTCTGGAACGAAAAGAGGGACCTTTGGTGTTCTTGCAAATACAGGAGAATTCAAAATAGTAGAACTCGCACAACATACACATCACACCTCGCAACCATTGGATCCTCCTTTTGGCCGCCCGTGGACAGCTCCATATTATGTTAGAACCTCCCATCGCCTACGGTATCCAGTCTATGACAAGGATCACCGCCAGGATAAAAAGGATCGCGTGATGGCATACGATTTCATGACTATCGGTAATCCACTTTCTGGACAGTGTGCACTAGCATTGTTACCGAACCGCGAAGTGGAGGTGGTGAAAGTGCCTGCAACAGCTCCGCGACTGAATGTCAGTGCTCTGGGAGAAATTTACAGAGATCGAACCTGTATCGCGGGGCCCACACCGCTTCGTGGCACGGTGGCAGAGGATCTGATTGAAGTGCAGAATCAGGCTCTGGGCAAGAAGTATGGGTACAAGCAAGGCCGAAAAACCGATCTATCAACTAGTGTGGACAAATCGAATCTGGCCAATAGTCAACGCAGCCTCGCTCTACCATCAGCAACACTATCGAGTCACCAGTTGCACGAAGATCTCCTCAACCTTGGCTATCCAGAAGTGAGTGTATCACTGTGCGATTACCTAGCAGCACTCGATACCCCCAAGCGTCGAGTCATGGAAGGCTACTCGCTGGAGTGTTCTGAAAACAAAGCCATCGTTTCCAATGATCCGTGGTTGGTGGATGTATGGACACTGATAGACCGCATGGATGCTCTAGCTTCTGGTGATGGCATGGTAGGAAATGGCTTGGATCTCAAGTATCTGGGAGTTAGCTCGATATGGGAAAACGAACTCACAATGTACGACGAGCGACTCATCGACCCCGATGCTAAGACTAGCCAAGAAATGTTCAGCAATGCTGTAAAGGAGATTGTTGAAGCCATGGAATTCCCCGCTTTTGAAGGCGTCGAGACCGAGTATCCTGAGAACAGACAATTATGTCTAAGTCTATGCGGCTGGTCTCTTGATAAGCAGGGCGTCCAGCGGAGTTCCGATCAGCTTGCTGCCAATGGTGAAGTTTACAAGGCTATCGTCCTCGCCTTTTTCCAAGGCCACAAAGACGTTGCATTCACCCTCCTTCGATCTACTCTCCAGCAGAAGATACTTCCACAGGATGATATTGGTCTTGCCGCCGTCATCTCCTGTGCCTCTCCTTCTTCAGGCGTCTCCTCGGATCAACGTGCCGCCTGTGCCTGGATGGCAGACATGACGTCGGACCCGTATCTCAAATCCCTCCTCACATACTTTATTTCCGGCGAATGGACGAGTGTCGTAGGAATGAGTCAACTCTCACTCTCCGACCGTGTCGCCGTAGCCATAAAATACCTGCCGGACACCCAACTCTCCCACTTCCTCTCCACCATCACCTCGCGCTGCATCGCCGATGGGGATATATCCGGGCTCCTTCTCACGGGGCTAACCTCACGGGCACTCGACCTTCTTCAAGTCTACATTACAGCGCACCCGCCTCGCCTCCAGGACGCCGTGCTTCTCCTCTCCCGCGCCTGCCCCCTCTACGTCCAAGACGCACGCTGGGCCCTCTGGAAGGAAATCTACCTCTCCCACCTGCAAACCTTCCGCGCCTTCCTCCAACGCACCCGCTATATCAAACAACACAACGCCCGCTCCGTCACTCGTGAGGGCCGCAGCACAAACAAACCCACCCAACCTAGCCTCACCATCCGCTGTCTCAACTGCCAGCAAAACCTCGCGCTGAGAAAAGATCCACGAACAGCAAGGACAAGGCTCGTACCCACCACTTCGGCTTCGACCACAGCTGCACCCGGTCATGCCCACGCCCACGCCCACACCCCCACCAAACCCCTAACTCCCCAGCAACCAGTCTTCCCCACCGGAGGACGCCCGGGCACAAACACGACGGCCAAACAGACGGCCACCAAACACGGGACCACGTCCCCAGCCCTCGCGTGCCCCAACTGCGGCACCCAGATGCCCCGCTGCGGCCTGTGCATGATCTGGCTCGGCTCTCCTGATCCCAGCAAACCGGGGGCGGCGGAGACGCTGGCCAAGGAGGAGCTCGAGGCGCGGCTGATGGTGTTTTGCATGGCGTGTACGCATGGCTTTCATGGACATCATGCGCGCGAGTGGTTTGCACGGCATAGCATGTGTCCGGTGCCGGATTGTGGGTGCATGTGTGGGTTGTTGAAGTGAGATACGTCCGGTTTCTCTGAAGAGCGGGGGGTTAGTTTGAAGAGACATGGGGGAAACGGGGCTGTTGAAACGGTACATTGTTCTTGGCGGGGAATGTCGAGATGGAAACGAGTCTAAGGATCCCATGATTGTATTCTAGTATTCCATCAGAACTCATGTGCCACCATGCATACATCTTAGAGAGCAGAAAGGAAATGAGCATGCTATCTTGGGATGAATTACAATCTAACATCATTCCATTTACCAATACTCCATCCATCTCTTTGCATCGAGGGCCACGAATTTGTACACTGCGAAACTTGCCGTCCCTCCATCACCCACTCATTCGATCCCCATCCTGCACAGAAACTAAAACAAGGGTATCGTATCGTATCGTTGCCAAACACTTTGACCTCCCTCTAGGCCGGTCAGCAGCTTTCGTCTCCTCCGTCAAAGGGGCAACTATCCTACAACGCTAAAAAAAGAAGAAGAAAGAAGACGAGCAAAAGATGCAATAGGAAGACGCCATGACGATGCAAAACATGACAAAATGAAGGAGAAGAACATGCCAAGCCCCAAACAACCGGGCAGTAAGCCATCACCCGACAGGGCGAACCCTCTTCGCATCTCAATCCTGCCCGGCCATTTCGCTATCGTTGCCGAGATCCTCATCCATTTCGCCTTCACCTTCCTCAATGGCCATGCCATGCGCCTGTGCAGTCACTGCCATGACAACCCCATCGCCATCCTCGACTTCATTATACATGGTGCCCTCGTTGTCGCCAAACGACGACTCGCGATCTTCGTGCTGCCCATTGGTGTTGAGAAAGACGCGGAGTCGTTGCACGCCAACGCCACTAAAGACGCAAAAGACATCGCGTTGGTGCTCGCTAAACTCTGGTGGGGCTTCGCGACAGAAGACGAGGAGGTCGTCGCGGAGAAAGGCTTGGACGCCGGTCAGACTGAGGTGGGTAAGACGGGGGCAGTTGTTGAGGAGTGCGTGAATGCCCTGGGAGATTTGTTAGTACAGCCCTTGATCACTCACATGGAGTTTGGACGAGGAGGGCATGACCTACCTGAAGCGTGAGGTTGGTGCAGTAGCTGAGATGGACTCGCTCGAGCACGCTAATGGCTATGGGCCCGTTGGAGCCGACTTGTTTCGGCTTCGCAAGGGCCCAGATGCTGCGATCTGTAATGGCGGCGCACTTGACCAGGCCGATTCGCTTGAGCTTTGGCAGCGTCGCTAGTTGCATGACCGAGGCATCGGTAAGATTTGTGCAGCAGGCCAGGTCAATGTACCGAATGCGGTTACATTGCTTGACCAGCTGTGCGACACCGGTATCGGTGATACGCGAGCAGTGTCCCAAGTGAATGTAATGGAGATTCTTGCCGAGACGTGTAATCGCCAGAACAGCTCGGTCTGTGATGTTGCGGCACTTGGCGAGCACGAGGTTGCGGAGTCGTGGGGCTGCGTAGATGATCTTTTGGACCCCGGCATCCTGTAGTTCTCCGCAGTCTGTGAGATCTAGGATGCGCAAGCAGTCGTACGTGGCCTCGGAGGGAAGGCGCAAAAAGGCTTGATCGGTAATCTTCCAGCAATGCGCTAGCCGCAGCTCGCGGAGATTGGGGCCTTCGGTGATGAGCGTCGTAATGGAGTCGTCGTCGAGGTTCTTGCAGTCGTGGAGATCAATCTCGAGAATGTAACGACAGTGTAGGGCAAAGGCGATGATGCTCTTGTCGCTCAGCTGCGAGCAGCCATTCAGCTTGAGCCGCTTGAGATGTCTACAGCTCTTGGCGACGGCCTCGAGCGACTCGTCGGTAATCTTCTTGCAGTTGGTAATGTTGAGGCCTTGCAGGCGGATTGCGTGTTGTGCCAGGGCGAACATGGTCTTATCGGTGATGGATTCCACATTGGTCACGTCGAGGGCCAAGAGACTCCGGTTGTCCTCGAGCATGGAGACCAGACTCAAGTCGGTCAGTTTGGAACAGTTGGTCAGGGTCAGCCGCTCCACGCGCTTGCAAGACGAAAGCGGTTGCAGGGTGCCATCGCTGACTTCGCTGCCCAACGTGGACAGGTTCAGGCGCTTGATGAGGCTGCTGTAGTCGAAGAAGCTGTTGGCTGTCCGTATGGTTTGTATGACGCTCTTCACGTTGGACCACTTGTTGGTCGAGGGCCGGTGCCAGAGCAGGCCCACGCTATTCCGGGCCCAGAGGTTGGAGACGAGCATGCAGTTCTTGAGGTCGTTGGGCGACGACAGCTTGGCGAAGATGGCTATCATGAGCTCGGCGGGGAGCCGGGAGATGGGCGAGAGACGGTGCTGCTCTTCGATGGCCCGCCGGCGAGCCTCGTCGTCCGAGTCGGGGGAGAGGGAGGGAGCGAGGGAGGATAGCGAGTCGTTGGACTGCATCATGATGGAGTCCTTGTCGTCGTCGAAGCCGCGCTCAGGCGAGGTTGAGGCGGACGAGTCGGAGCCCGAAGCGCTGGTATCTCGTTCGCGTCTGCGTGCACGCGTCATGTTGGCTGGTCTGTCTGCTGGTCTATTGGAGGGTCTGTCTGCGGGTCTATCGGTGCTGGTGGCCGTGGCCGTGGTGGTCGTGGATGGGCGGGCGATGGGGCTGAGGGGACCGAGTCTTGGAAGGGCGCTCATGGTGGGCGTGAGTGGGATGGAGCAGGTTTCGGGGTGGGAGGCAGTTGCCGAGGAGGTGTAGGGTTTCGAGTGGGGGTGGATGTGGTGGTTTCTGGTTTGGGCTGGAATGGGAACAGCCTCGTCAGGTTGACGACAGGCGCCGGCGATGGAACTGTGGCGGCGGATGGGCGGGTCGACTAGGGGCGGGCCCGCTTGCTCTTGGGCTAGGAAAAGCAGTTGTCGCGTGTGGGTGTGTGTGGGTGTGTGTGTGTGTGTGGGTGTGGGTGTGGGTGTATGTGTGGGTGTGGGTGTATGTGTGGGTGTGGGTGTATGTGTGGGTGTGTATGTGTGGGGATGGGTGGGCAGCAAGCAGTGCAAGAGGAGAGGAGGTCTGGCGGCTGACCAGACGGGTTGTTGTTGACAGTGAGGGCGGGATCAGCCTTATTGGTGAGGGCTGGGTGGTGGTAGAGGAGAGTAGAGTAGAGTAGAGTAGTAGGTACTGTTAGCTTACAAGGGTGTTCGTCCAACCGGGCGTTAAGGTGAGCCGGCCAGCGAGGTCCGGTCACATGCAGTTCAGTTGGAGTGCCCAGTGGGATTCTACCAACTACCTACACAGTCTGTGCAGATGGGCGGCAGGCTACCGGTACGGGCGTTTACGTTGTCACGTGCTGCCACAATGGGCTTCTGGTGATGGGAACAGGACACCGGATCTATGTCATGGTATAGGATGGCAAAGAGATGATGATATGGTACAAGTTACTTGGCTTGGATGCGTGCAGTTGTCGTTTAATCACGGCAAGAACGATGAAGGAGTGCGCCACCTTTGGATTGGCAGATACATACACACACACACACACACACACACCACACAGGCGTGTTGGGCAGGCACGTCTGGAGCAAAAGGGCAAGAGCAGAGAGACCTGACAGCAAGCAAGGAAGGCGTCGTTGGTCTCTCGCTCGTCACTGCCTGCCAAGCAATGGGACCCTGCATTTGACTCTGGTGACTGCCCATCTTTCACTGGTTGGCCATCTGCTTCCCTTTTGGTTGTACCTATGCTCGATCGAGAGCTGAGAGATGCACTACATGTACTCTATGTGTCCTCACCAAACAAAGACCACAACAACTCCATCCAACCAAAACAGGGCTATTTTACGGCATCACAAAACCAGTATTGGCCTCTCCCAAGACTGCCAGCAGAGTGGACTCGGCCGCAAACAATCTGTGGCTCCTGTAGCCGTGGTGCTGCGCCACAGCTCATGATTGTGCCAGCCAGCAGCTACTCTAGTACCACTAGGTAGAGTACTCTACCAAGTACTATGCTACTAAACCACTAGAACGCATGCATGAAACATCCATGTCTCCATGGTAGCTATCGACACTCAAGTACACGCAAAAGCAAGACGGACGCCAGCTGGCTCCCTCTCCCCTCTCCCTCTCTCTCTCTCTCTCTCTCTCTCTCTCTCTTCTCTTCCCCCTCCACCTCTCCCCAAAAACTGTGGCTTAGCTCTTCCTTGTGACGGGCCTCCCGTTCGCCGCACGCCAGGCACACGGGTCCGTCGTCTCTTCTGACAAGGCCCCTCGACCACACGACAACGCAGCACCTTCACTCCCATTCCCTCCCACATCCCCACATCCCACCCTGCCAACCACCACACCCCCTTGCCACCCCCGGAGATTGTGCAGCTGCTTTGCTTTGCTCTGCTTTGCTCTGCTCTGCTTTGCCATACAACACCCTCAACTCCATGCGCACAACCTAACCTTCTCCCTTCTCCCTTCTCCCCTCCCCGTTGTCCTGCACCTTGCAGGCTGCTACACCGCTCGCTCGTCCATGTCCGCTGCTCGCTTTGGCCCCTCCACCCTCCTCCCCATGGCACAACAAGCCGGCTACCGGGCGCCGGCTCCCATCGCCGTGTCCAATGCGCCGCCCGGTACCTTTGCGCCGGGCACCAAGGTCCAGGTCGGCAACCACCGCGTCACCATCGAAAAGTACCTGTCCGAGGGTGGCTTTGCCCATGTCTACCTCGTCCGCGTTCCCAAGTCTGAACAGCGGCTGCCCGACACCGCCGTCCTCAAACGAGTCGCCTGCCCCGACAAAGATGCGCTCGCCAACATGCGGACCGAGGTGGAGACGATGAAGAAGCTCAAGGGCCACTCCAAGATTGTCACCTACATGGACTCGCACGCCTCCCAATTAAAGGGCGGCGGCTACGAGGTCTTCCTGCTCATGGAGTTTTGCAGTGGCGGTGGCCTCATCGACTTCATGAACACCCGGCTGCAGCACAGGCTGACCGAGCCCGAGATTCTGCACATCTTCTCCGACGTGGCCGAGGGCGTGGCGACCATGCACTACCTCAAACCCCCGCTGCTCCACCGCGACCTCAAAGTCGAAAACGTCCTCATCACCACCGTAGACAACAACAGGATATACAAGCTCTGCGACTTCGGCTCCACCGCGCCCCCGAGACCGGCAGCCACGACGGCCGCCGAGGGAAGATTGATCGAGGACGATGTGCAACGACACACCACCCTGCAATACCGCAGTCCGGAAATGATAGACGTCTATCGCAAGCAGCCCATTGACGAGAAGAGCGACATTTGGGCCTTGGGCGTGCTGCTCTACAAGCTATGCTACTACACTACCCCGTTTGAAGAAGTGGGCCAGATGGCCATCTTGAATGCGAGCTTCAAGTACCCAGCCTATCCACCCTTCTCAGACAGGATCAAGAAGCTCATAGGTGAGTCTGCACCCCTGCAGCCACACGTACATGGCCGGGCACGATTTGACAAAGTCCAGGTTGGATGTTGAGAGAGAATCCTCAGCATAGGCCCAATATTTACCAGGTCGTGGCCGAGGTCTGCGCCATGCGACATCGTGCCATTCCCATCAAAGACGTATGTCGGCAGACTGCAATCGATCGTTTTGCGCTAATCGCTACAAGATCTACTCGGGACGAACACACTCGGAAGCTCGGAGGAACGAGCAGTTGCCGCCTGCCGAGCCACCAGTCCATCCTCCTCCCGTGGTAGGCCTGCAGAAAGTGGCGCCCGTGAAACAAGTACAGCAATTGCCAGAGATAACACCCATGCGTAGGGGAAGGCCAACCGCTCCTGTTCAACAGCCTCCAGGTGCAAGACCTAGTCCTTCGCCGATGAGAGGGACAACGGCCGACCCGTTTGCTGCTCTTGATTCCGAAGATGTTCAGCTTCGACGTGCTGCAGCGGACGAGCTTGCCGCACGATTCCCCTCCCTGGACGACTTCTCTCTACTACATGATCGTGGTCAAAAGTTCGAATTTGGCGGCGGCGGCGGCGGCGACTCCCCCACAGGAAACGATCCTGCTTTTTCAAAGCGCGTCGTCGAGGCTCTAGCCGACGAAGCCTTTGCTTCACCGTCCGTACCCCAGACCGAGTCCGCTCCCATGTCCCAACCAGCATCGAATGGGCAGTCATCCAGTTTGTCGACAGCGGCTGCCTCCACCAACAAATCCAGGTCCTACGAGACCAAAGACAGTCCACGTAGCTCTGCACCAAGCATCATCCAGCAGCCAATCCCACAACGCTTCGAAATGGTATCGACCGGTGTGCAAACATCACCCCGCACCTCCCCAGCCCCAACCCCACCGCAAAGACAGCCAGAAGTTAGCAACAAGCCAATCTGGAAGGTCCCATTGTCCTCTCATCACAGTCGGACAATGAGCCAGACGCGCTCATTCGAGAAGCCGTCTGGAAGCCCCTCCTCACTCAGGGCCGAATTCGCGCTGCCTAAACTACCTACCCGACCTTCTCTCGAGTTGCGATCCAAGTCCCAACTCGGCATACCAAGATCCCCTGCTTCCTCCCGTCCGTCCCTCGAAAGCCAGCGTCCTTCTGCATCCGATCTCGGTCATTCCATAGATCGTTCGAGATCGGCCAACTCGAATGCTCGGCCTGTGAGCATGCACGTGGCGTCTGATCTCGACTATCTACGGGATCGTGAACAGGCCCCTGGCCGTAGTTTTGATGCACCTTCTTTGCAGCGTCGCATCACTTCAAGTGCGATAGATGACTCGGACTCACCAGAAGAGACAAAGGTGAGATCGAGCATCGACTTCCTGCGCACCATTGAGATGGAAGAGCATGGCCACAAGCATCGCCGGAGTAGTTCCCAGAGCAAGCACGCAAAGCGTGGCAGCATAACAAGCATGGTCAAAGGCAGATTCGGTGATGCATTCCGTCGCTTCGAACACTCCAAAACCCCCGACCGTGAGCGTGAGGAATCGCCAATGACCCCAAAGGATCAGCAGCACATCAACAAGCAGGGAACCGGCCTTGCCCTGACGCCAATCGCCGGCTCTGAAGCCACCAGCGGTCTCAGCGACGACGACCGCAGCGCCTTTGAGGAAACCGAGGAGCTTTCCCCCGAGGTCCGCCGCGAACTCGAAAAGCGAAAGCTTGACGAGGAAGAACGTCGCGTGGAAGCCGCAGCCGCGGAGTACCGACAACGCGTCACGTCGCAAGGTCCAGGAGCCAAAGCCGGCCCTTCGAAAGCTTCGACGATTCAAAGCCGGGTCAAGAGTTTGCTGAATGAGAGTTCCAAACCTGCAGCTGTGAATCGTACTGCTGATGGATATGGAAAGTACACGGATAACAACAAACCCCTTCCCAGTCGACCGCAAGAGCAGGCCGACGTTGGTGCACGACAAGCTCCCACCATCGCTCGAAAGCCTATACACGTCAGTTCCACCATGCAACAACAAGGCCAAGAACTTGCCTATACGAAGCCATCATCAGGACGGCCCGCCATGTCTCCACCCGCGCCCTCGACTTCGGCCCCACCCATGATCAATCTTCGTGCGCCCTCTGGCCCACCGCCGCGAGCACCCAAGCCAAAAGCGTTGCAAACGGGGGGGTCAACAGCCTCCCTGTCTGGTGGTGGAAGCCCGACAAAAGCGAGCCCGATTGTGCGGGAGAAGTCGCTACCGCTTGTCACGGGGGACGGTGCGGCTATAGAACCTGAAGACTGGGACGTGGACACGTTTAGCAAGCGGTACCCCAGTCTAAGTGGATTAGAGATGGTGGAGACGGAGATTCCGAGGAGAAGAAATGGGGTTAGGGATGTGTAGGTTCATTGGGGTGTAACATGAAGTTGGCATGTTTTTTTTACGCATGTACGGGTGGGTGTGCGTGGGCCAAGGGGGATAGAGTATAGGTGCATGGTGAAAGAGGAATGTCGATGAGCATTTTTTGAGCATAGATTTAGCGTGAGCGTAAGCATGTGCCGCGTCGTATGTAACTTGGGGAACTTGGATGTTATTACATGTATGGGCATATGAGACTTATAGAATATATAGAAAAGATAGATCATTATAGCATGATTGCCAATTTAGATGTGTATATATATATATATATCTACATGTAGTTGACTTGTTGTGTTTTCTTCTTGCTGGTTGTGAGACGATTGGAGTGGAATTGAAGGATTGGATACTGTGTCTCCTATTTTTTTTGGCAATTGCAATCAACTGTTCAGGGTGTATATCTGAATGGATGCTCGGCATGAATGGGGGACCGGGAATGCACTATTCTTTGACCATGCCATCTGAACTCTCATGACTCGATGTTACACTTGACAAACCACCAGTGACACCGATTCCTCCAGCTTACATTCCCATCACTGCCTCTCCAGCCAAACCAGCCGACTCTGATAATCCCCCCTCGGCCACGGAATGTTCAGCCCCATGTTCATATACGTGGCACCACTATAGGTTGCATTATCCAAGTCATTCCTATACCTGGCGCTCGGATCCAAGCCCTGCAGTCTCAACGGCGGAGGCGCAGGCTTGGCCACGTAGATTTGCTGAAAGGCAAAGAGCACGCTCTGGCTCTTGTCCGCAGACACAAACTGCACCGCCGGCCAGCGCGTGGTAGCCGGGTGGGCGAGGCGGAAGAAGGCGCCGGTGATGACGAGGGGGTTGAGCCGGTGGGCTTGCGCGATGATGTCGGGCACCGCCGAGGCTTCTGCGCCGCTGAGCTCAGAAGGGTTGAGCTCGAGGCCAAAGCTGCCGCACATCATGGCCACATGGCCGCGGTACTCGATGCTGATGTTGCGTCGCGTGAGCCCGTTGGGGACGGCAGAGACGTGGCAGCCCATGGCCGAAGGCGGGTAGACGAGCGAAGTGCCCATTTGAATGGTCAGACGGTCGGATGCGTCGGTGTTGTCGCTGAGCCAGTGCTGTGGCCAGTAGTGCAGGAGTCCTGCGTCGACGCGTCCGCCGCCTGATGCGCAGCCTTCCCAGAGCACGTCTGGGTAGCGGGTGGTGAGGGTGTCGAGCACGCGGTAGAGGCCGAGCATGTAGTTGTAGTCGTCGGATGGGTGGGATAGTTCGTGGATGCCGCGATTGTTATCCCATTTGACGTACTGGATATTGGCCGAGTCGAGGATGCGTGAAACAGTGCTGATGATGAAATCCTGGACTTCGGGCAGGCCAACGTTGAGCACAAGTTGGTTTCGTTCGAGAGTTCGCTGGTGTTTGCCTGCGTGCAAAACCCAATCTGGGTGATCTTGGTAGAGACTGGAGTTTGGGTTGACCATTTCTGGTTCCACCCAAATCCCAAACTGGAGTGGAGTAGTCGAGTTGAGAACCGTGAGATTGTTCACCGATGCCACATAGGGCTGCAAGCCGTCGGGGAACTTGGCTGGGTTGGGTGTCCAGTCACCGAGACCCATGGTGTCGTTGTTGCGGGGGTAGGCCTCGCCAAACCAGCCGTCGTCGGTGACAAATAGCTGGATCCCAAGTGCTTCTGCTTCGCCTGCGAGGCTGAGGAGCGAGGTTTCGTTGATGTTGAAACTGAGCCCCTCCCAGGAATTCAACAAGATGGGTCGCGTCTCTTTGGTGAACTTTGACCGTGAAAGATGGCTACGATAGAGATCGTGGAAGGCCCGTGACATACCGCCAATACCCTCGGAGGAGTACACTGCCACAGCTTCAGGGGACTGGAAGGACTCGCCTGGTCGGAGCCGTATGTTGGTGTGCAAGGGATTTAGTCCGAGAAGTACGCGGACGAAGCCATTGGAGAATCTCTCTGCCGTAGCTTGAAAACTACCAGTCCACACGAGGTTGAACCCCCATGCTTCTCCCATGCTCTCGGTTGTTGATGGGGAAACAAGAGCAAAGAAGGGGTTGTGAAGATGTGAAGCGTATCCTACGCTGCTTCGGAACCTACTACTTGTCAGTGCGATTCGGTTGTGACTGGATGCTGAGCTCACGTTGTCTCGCCGTAATCGACCTTTCGCTTCACTGTCTGAAATTCGTACGACCAATCTCCATGCGGCTCAATCATGTCAAGATCAACGTTGGGAAAGTCGGTGCTGAAGCTAAACGCTCTATCAACGACCAGATCATTAGTGCTATTGTTGGTGATCTTGAAGCTCCTTGCAATGGCGTTATATTTAGGAAACACCGAGTACGACAGTGCCGCGGAAACATCAGAGACGTTGTCATAGAGCTGCACAATCAGCGTCGTCACGTCACCAGCATCTCCATAAGTGGCGGGAAGGCCGGGTAGAGATGGTTTCCCCTCAATCACTTCATGCGAGCGATAGACGAAGGCGGATACAGCATCGCCATCAACGTGTTCAATGTGGATTGCGGGCAATCTGAAGTCGCTGCGTCCAATGTCGGGAAACTCTCTGCGCGAATTTGCTTTCTCGCCGTTCCACCCCCAAGCAAGAATCTCCGCTGGTGGTGTGAAATCAGATGCGGGTGCTCCGAAATGGTCTGATATGAGTTCTCCAGAGTCTGCCTCGACATGAAACAGGTATGACATGCCATCCGCTTTCAGGGTGAAATTTGTCCCTGCTGCTGTGATAGCTACGTATACGTCAGCGGAAGAAACAGGGTTTTATTGAGGGCCTGTACATCATAAGACCACGGCACTCACCATTCTGACCAAGTGCTGCGCCTACTGACACAGTCAACACAACCACCCCTTCTTTGAAGAACAACATGATTGCAGATTACCGTTGAACAGGACATTTTGAAAGGTTGCGAAGGTACTTGAAATATGTGTTGTGAGCATCGAATCTGCGGCTGCATCCCTAGCGTACCAATCGTACACAAGAAGGACTCTGGAGGTGAGGGGAAGCGGGGAAGCCGCTGGGGTCAACAAACGTAGCCCTGGAGATGTCGATGCACGGTTGTGACTTCACGGGAAAGCTGCGGAGAATCTGACGATTGGACGAGTGGCCGGATTGTGGCGGATACATGTCCGCTTCTGGAACCCAACGGACATCTCATAGCTACCACTGAGAGATCTTCGATGTCTTCAGGTGTAGGTTCAAAATAGAGATGCGATCTACTGGTACCGTACCATAGAGCTGCACACTGGCTGGTATGCTTGCCTATGGTACGGTAGGTATCGGTACTTGATGCACACCTACACCGATACACCGCACAGAGCACGCATGTCCTCCTCCCCTGGTCATCCTGAACCTCCCCGGTCTCCGGAGAGACAGAAATGTGATCGTCATGGCATCGAGATGGTAGAGGGATCAGATACCGTTGATCATTGCTAAGCATGGTCTAAAGTTGCGCGTACAAGCAAACGTGCTCCTCTACCTACGGCTTAGCCTCACAGGTACATCAGTCTCGAATGCTGAATCGTGGATAGTGTTCAAGCCAGATTACAGAGAGCTTACCTCACATACTCAGAGAACTTAAAAGACACAGAAGCATGTCCAAGTCAATTGATAGTAAGGCAACACCATGTCAAAGGCGACGTGGTGACTTGAGCTTCCCCACAAGTGACCAGTTTTATTAGACATGACAGTGAATCTTGCCAAAAGGAGCGGTTTTGGCGCCAAGACGGCCTGGTAATTTTACCTGCCCCCTTCACCGCCGTCATTCTTCTCAATATTTGATGGTCAAGGAACACCAGCACGCACCGTTCTTTCACGAACGCAGAATTCACCCCAGCCTTTCGACAACATATAATAGAAAGACATCAGCGTCACTGACACTGCTCTGAGCATGTTGGGCAGCGAGGACAATACTCAAAGACTGAACACAACTTCAACGTCCTGACGGTGTCCACGCTGAAACATTACTTATGATCGACTCCTGAAGACCTATAGAGGCTAGCATTGCCAGTCCATGGAGACTCATTTTTCAAGGATTTGACGTCTTCTAAGCTTGCTAGTACTGCAAATTCGTCAGCCCCATGTAGCATCTCTAGTTTCACGCTCGCTGCCCAACTGAGTTTCAATCTTGACATTTACACCATGAAATGAAACATTATTCGTATGAACGGGGTCTGCGACCGATCTGCAACACAAACAGCTCCACCAAGTTGAAAGTAGCCAAGCCTGTCACGATCTGGTGTTTGATACTCTAAATTGACCACTCGAGATCTCCAGGCGGTTTGATACCTGTTCTGCAAACGTTGCAAAATGTGGACCTGTTCATGCCAAGTGCCAGGTAGGGAAAGCATATGTCACCAGACGGTAACCAAGTGAAATATGCTTGGAGAAGGTTTAGAAAACTGATATACCGGGAGCATTTCGCTTGAAAGTTTGCCATACTTCGTTTCTGGTCTTTGCTCGTTTTGTTCATATCACTGCCGGACAGTTTGGTTCATAATATACATAATTCTCTGATACATAAATTCACTTTGAATTCGGTGACAATGAAGCTCCCCGTGGAGTTCATTGCCCTCCTCATGAGTCTATCTAGCGCTCAGGCCTTTGCAGTGCCTCCCCGTACTCTTTGGATGGTAAGTCCCCATGTATTTTCATTTCGTTGCCAACCACAGAGTGTGAGTACTCAAAGGCAAAACAGAGATCCCTAGCCCACCGCTCCTATAGCGCAAACCCCATTCGGCGAAATGCAGGTTTTTCAAGCATCGAGAGTCTGGTCACCGGCACAACGCAACGCCGCGAAGCCCAGGAAGAGCAACAACAGGAGCGCAACGGTGGAGGCGGTCTCAAGATTGGCGGTGTGACCCTCGGTGGATCAGGCGGTGGTATCACAGGCAATGGAATCCAGCTTGGTGGTGGTGGTGGTCAAGAGCAGGGCAATGAAGAGCAGGATAACAGTGACCAACAGCGACAAGGCGAGCAAGAAGCCCGCAATGGCACAGTAATAACCGAGGGACAGACCGCAGCTCCTGAAACGGAAAGTCCCCCAAGCTCTTTAGCTTCAGAGAAAGAAGGTGAAAAGCCGGCGGACCGTCAGTCTTCCGCTGTTGAACCTGAAGCCCCCGCCAGAGCTGGCACAGAAACCCAGCCGAGTCGTGCAGAAGGCGAAGCCGCAAAAGCCGAAGCACAGCAAGAAGCCCAACAGGCCGAAGAAAATTCAGAAGGTGCGCTGGCAATGGAAGAGTCTGAACGCTTCTCTGAGCAAGCAGGTATCACGTTGGATGAGTCTGGTAATGCTCAGAATCTTGGAGGCAATCTGGGCATCACAAAGGGGACGGATGGAAGCACGTCTGTGGGAGGCGAGAATGGGATTCAAGTAGCTTAGAGTGGGGAGGAGAGCGTGGAAGTCGAGCTGGTTTAACAGGGGGGTTGTGTGAGACATGGTAATGTGCGCTGAGTGATTGCATGATCCGTACACGTCGTACTATTCTCTCGCTGATTTATTTTCGCGAATACGTCCTGTCAAACGATGTCAGTGGTAATTGAGCTACAGAGTCAGAAATTATATTCCTTCACATGGTCTTGATGATTTAGAGTAATAATGACAATGAGCTGTGGTTTCCATTCCCCTTCCCCTCACATGCCTTCTACCAACACCAAGACGATATATACATCTACACCACATAGCACAGATCATTCTAACCAAAGAAACGATATTATTAAACTCCGCCGCTGATGCCGCAATATTGTGTTGTCTAATAACGAGGGTATCTGTTTCGGATAAATGTTTCGCTTTTTTTATGAATGCTTTGCGTGACATGATGTCGCACAAGGAATGTCCAGATGCCGAGTGTACGGAATGCCTCCCGCAGTCTCATCAACAATACTTGTCTGTCTGTGTCCTCTTACAACACCTATGCCCAAACAAACTTGTGGGAAAGTCTATACAATAATTGCTGGAACAGCGTTGAGCACTCTAGCCACCTCATTCGGCGCCATCTGGCTGCTCTGCAAACTTCGGACTTGACTGCCCTTTCGTAGGCGTTGCAGACCGATGGCCAGTTTCCAACTTTCAGACTCGTCGATAAGGAAGACGTACTTCTTGCCGTCGGGGTCGCGAACGGAGGCCCGCAGGATGTGAATGTGTTTTGCCGGTTGCTGACCAGTCTGGTGTCCATGTCAGTAAACGTACGAAATGCGTGGATGGAGTCATGCTTACCTCGATCATTTTCAATGTCCAAGCCTTGACGTCCCACTCGCGTTGAGGGATACTCCGAACATCGTCATCGATGAACAAGCCTTCGGACTGAATCTTAAGTATCAAGCCATCCGTCACCTTGCCAACGTTGGACACCAGCTGCGCCACAGGTTTGGGGAAGAGATCGTTGAAGAGATATACTGCCTTGATGACAATCTTGTTGGGATCTGTTGTGGCATATGGCCCTCGCTGTGATGCTGGGGGTGTTGTACGGGTTGTCGACTGGGAGGGTGCGTAAGAGGATTCCGAGTATTGGGATGAGACGGTTGATCTTGCAGGGCCAGGTCGGGGAGTGCTCGTATGTGGTCGGAAACTACCTGCATCTTCAGTGCCCAAGTACGACTTTGCCGAAGGCCGTTCATAGTTCTTCTTGGGTTGTACTGTGGCCTTGATCGGATTTGAATGCGTCGAGGTGACAGAGGCGGTCACAGAAGGCGCGACAGAAGGCTGTCTGACGCCAGCATAGGGATCGAGTCGCTCTCCTCCCCCAAGACCGCCATAGGTGGTTGATCGTCGGGCTGTGACTTCAGGGACTGCGGCAGCAGCAGCAGCGGCGGCAGCCGCCGCAGCCTCTGCTTTGATCTTCTCAGCCTCGCTCTTGAGACGGGCTTCGCGATCCTTCTCAGCCTCACTCTTGAGACGGGCTTCGCGATCCTTCTGAGCACGCTCCCGAGCGGCCTTGAGTCGTTCAGCACGCTCTGCATCAGCCTTTGCCTTGGCAGCGGCGGCTTCGGCTTCGGCTTTGGCTTTTGCTGCAGCTGCTTCTGCAGCAAGCTTCTCCTCTGCGGCTCTTCGTGCAGCTTCTTCTGCAGCCTTTGCTCGCTGTTCTGCCTCGAGCTTCTCACGAATCTCCTTCTCAATCTTGGCACGTGCCTCAGCCTCCCGGGCTTCACGTTCAGCCTCTTCCTTCTCCCGGAGTTCTTGTTGCTTGCGAGCTTTCTCTTTAGCAAGACGTTCTCGAGCTTCTCGTTCGCGCTGCTCCCGCTCTCGTTGTCGCGCCTTCTCCCACTTCTCCTTCTCGGCTTTGGCGCGAGCTTGCTTGGCTGCTTCTTCCCGAGCCCTTTCTTCAGCCTCCTTCTTCTTCCGTGCCTCTTCAGCACGCTTGAGCTGCTCCCATGCCCTTTTGCGTTCCTCTTCGTCTCTCCGCTTCTTCTCCTCTTCGGCCTGTTTCCGTAGCTCCTCAGCTCGTCTCTTCTCTTCCTCCGCCTGCTGTCTTTGCTCCTCCGCCCGTTTGCGCTCGTCTTCTTCACGTTGTTGACGTTCAGCTTCCTCTTGTCGTTTCTTCTCTTCTTCCGCACGCCGTGCATCGTCTTCTTGTTTTCTCCTGAGCTCCTCTTCTTGTTTGATCCTGAGCTCCTCTTCTTGTTTGATCCTGAGCTCCTCTTCTTGTTTGATCCTAAGCTCCTCTTGTTTCTTCTTAAGCTCCTCTTCTTGTTTTTTCTTGAGCTCCTCTTCCTGCTTTCGCTTGAGCTCCTCTTCCTGCTTTCTCCTAAACTCTTCTTCTTGTTTTCTCCTAATCTCGTCTTCCCTTTTCTTCAATTCTTCTTCCTGTCGTCTTCGGATTTCCTCTTCCTTCCTCTTGAGCTCTTCCTCGTGTTTCTTTCTGAGCTCTTCCTCTTTCTTTCGTAGCTGCTCCTCGTGCCTTTTCTTGAGCTCTTCCTCGTGTTGTCGTCGCAGGTCGTCCTCTTGCTTCCTCCGTAGTTCCTCTTCTTGTTTTCGCTTGGCCTCTTCAGCTCGCTTGCGCTCCTCCTCCTCCTCTCTTCTCTTTTTCTCCTCTGTTCGCTTCTTCTCTTCCTCTTCCCGCTTCTTCATTTCCTCTGCTCGCTTCTTTTTTTCTTCGGCTTGTTTCCTCTCTGCCTCGGCTGCCTCTTCTGCTTCATCGTCCCATGCAGCGTCGTCGTCGTCTTCTTGAGGTGGAGGTGAGGAGGCACCATATTGCCGGTAACCGCCCCATCCACCGTGAGGTGGGGGTGAACCCGCGCCTGAAAAACCCCCATTCGGTGGAGGCGGAGCCGACCGCTGATAGTTGGCTCCACCCCCTGGTGTGCTGGTACCCGCTCCAGCTCCTCCTCCTTGGGGACCACTGCCAAAGCCACCTCCAAAGGTATTTCCACTAGCACTAGCACTGGAACGTCCACCTCCCATTGTCTGTCCAAAGATCCATCCAATAAGTCCAACCAGCACGACGAGCAGGATGACGCCGTTTCCACCTAGCTGGACGCCCTGGCTGACGAGAAGGAAGTACTGTTTGGCCTGAGGTTCGATGATCTTCCAGATGGCGATACAAGCTATGGTGCTTCCCACTCCTGCCATGAAGCTGTTTCGCTGGACTCCCAAGCTGGGCAAGTAGATGAAGCCGCCACCGGCAGAGTGTGGCGGTATGATGAAGATGTCATAGTTGCCCGGAGGCAGACCGCCACCGCTATTTGGTGGAGGGGCATGGCTGCCTCCTGTCGTCTTGGGATTGGCACCATGGGGAGGTGGTGGAGGCGGTGGGCCGTCCATGGTAGAGTGTGCTGCCCGTACAGGCGAGTTTTGATAGAGTGGAAAGCTCTGTGCGAGATGAGGGACAGATGGAGGACGAGGTGATCACCTGGTTCGGCGGTGCTCGGCGGTCAGACAGAACAAGACGGAGGAAGGATACATTGGCGGAGGTGGGTCTGGGTGAAAGAAGCACGGAGCGGGATGGGGTAGGGGACCACGACAATTACCAGTAGCTGCCCCTCGATCCCCTCTGGTTCGAGCAAGAGCAATTGGCCTCAAGAGGTTTACGTTTACTAGGTACCTGGGCACAAAGAACTAGGAGAAGCTGACGAGGCCATGAAGCATGGATATTTGCTTGCTGCAGAGACGACAACAACCTTCCTGCGTCCCCCCCCCCCGTTCTTCAGCCATTTGAGCTTTGTTTACGCCAAGCCTGGCTGATTGGCCGAGCGGCTACGGGCCGTTCTGCACCGTCACCCTGCACAACGCCACCTAAAGCCCGTCAACCTCACTTTCGCTCTACCAACCAGTTTACCTAACACGCAAGCGAATTGCACTCGACTGCCCATGTCTCTTTTTTTTTTTCGCTAGATGGTGCTGGATATGGATACATGCACAGTGTCAGCGCGAGACAGAAGCGAACGTTCTTCTTCCTATTGTTGTTGTTATTGCTGTCGTCGGCTCGAGATGGTAAACAACACGTCACGCGTGCTAAAGAGCAGGTCGCCTGTGCACGTCGCTAGCTGAGAGACCACGACAAAGTGGCCTTTTTAGCTTGCAGCGCTTCTCAGGCCGGCCAAAGGTACAACCTCTGACAGGCGACGGGCACGGGGGTTCATTATGCTGCATGAGTACGCGGCAAGCGGCGATTCGACCGGAGTGGTAGCGAATTGTGGACTTGATGCTCGCTTTGAGCAGACTCTCGGAGCACAGCAGAGGCGTGCAGGGAGGGAGGGAGGGGTAGAGCACCTATTTTGCATCACTGGCGCAGGTGCTTGCGGACCGCTGTCAACCAAACTGGAAGACGCTAGGACTCGGATCTGGGTGCTAATCACGGTACCGGAAGGTATCACAATAGGCCTATAGTAGATGTCTACTGTGCAGTAGGGGTCCTATAGAGGGCAGTGTACTTGTGTACTTGCGAGGTAATGTAAAGTCAATACATACGAGCCGACTGTTGAGAGTTGCATGCAAGCCTGGAATGCTTGCACACGCACGCAGGAGCAGGCCGAGATTTGCTGTGGGACTGTGGTGCGGGGTTGGTTGGAGGCTACGTTGGAAAGGTACGGACCCGTCATGAGCGGATGATGCGGGTATGGCACGACCCTACCGTACTTGTATGTGTGACCATTCGCTGCAGAAGGCCACCAGAGATCACCAGAGCTCACAACACATCTTCAAAAGACAGTGGACCCGGTATACTCTATACACAGCAACTTCCCTTTGGCTGGCTCGCACGATGACTTGCCACCAGTCTCGTGATGCAGCTTGCGGACATCTGGATTGTCTCCTGACGGCGTGCAAAGAAGTGTTGCCAAGGCCAAAAGAGGAGCGAACATGACGAATACACATGGACCTCGGAGAAAGAGGCCCATCTCAACCAAAAACTCGAAAACTGTGTACTGGATGCAATAGGCGATACAATCTTGCCAGTGCACCGAGTGCAGTCGTCATCATCATCATCATCATCATCGTCCTCGTCCTCGTCAGTCAAGCGCGGCCGTGTGATGGCTTCTGGTGCCTTCCATGGCTTCTTTGGACGAGAGGAGACGAGACGAAGCGAAAGGCCAAACTCACCGCCTGCACATGATGTGCTGGCTCACCCCCACACTGCGCATCCGAACGCATCGTGTGACTGACCGCAGTACAGTGGCTGCCGGCCAGGTGTGAGTGGGTGAGTATGTGTGTGGGTGTTTGGTGTATAAAGGGGGGTTTGTGAGGATGGAGGGGGTGGGGGGTGAGGGGTTTGGAGACTGGAGAGGTCGAGGGGTCGAGGGTCGAGGGGGTTCCAGGAAGAAAAAACGGAAAGGTGGGGGTCTTGCTCGGCTCTCACAACCACCCAAGGAGGGAGTCATTCATCTGTAAGAGTACACAAGTAGAGTATGTGTGTGTGTGTGACGATGATCAAACAACCAGACGCAAGATCTGCTCTGCATGCCTATCTTAGTACTCTGTTGTTCAAGGACAAGTACCTATCAGAGTACCTACACCACATCCACATCTCCATCCTGCCTAGTAGTAGATGCGACGGGAAGCCGAGACCCAATCGAGAAGAGGAGCATGGCAATGGCCTGTGTCGTACAGATGTTTTCCAGGCCGCGCGCTCGCGTGTTTCATCTCGGAAGAGGGAGCTAGGTACAACATACCTAGGTACAGTACAGAGCTATAGTTATACATAGTAGGTATATCGAGCACCCGAAAATAGCAGCAAAATTGGGCCTCCATCTATCTCCATCTTTGATCGTCGCCTTCTCTCTCTCCCTCTCCCCTCTCTTTGTGTATGTGTGCATGTACTGTACTTCTCCTTCGGTATCCAATCTAGCCGATGTCACCCGCACCTGAGCAAGCCCATCCCAACACGCCCAAGCCACGCCAGGCCGCGTGGGATGCCCATCTGATGACTGCTGGGCTCTCTCTTTCCCCTTGGCCCTCTCTTTTCTGTGTGTGTATATGCCCATCTCTCTCCCCCAAAGAGAGTCAAGCTGCCATGTCCAAGCGATGACGTTGTAGTATACCCTACCCAAACAGGCACAGACGCCCATGGTAACGACCAAGGCGCGCCCCCGTCTTTCGTGCAGAAATCTGGCGCAGGGGGGCCGATGGCAGCGGGTAGCCCGCGCGTGTTCGTTAGCTGTTGTATTTGTACTATGTAAAGAGGGCACCAGCAGACTTTTTTCCGGACGCGGGTGGACAAGGCGTGGCAAGGGCTTGGGAAAGTAGCGGTGAGGCGGGTGCCCAAAGCAGCTTAGCGGCCATTACGCTTCGCCAACATGACAGACAGCTACTAAAAGCTCGGTCGTCGGCACTGGGCGGCGCCTCTGCCTTCCGACAAAACAAAACAAGTGAATTGCATCGCATGTGAGGACACGGGCATCGCGGCGGCAAACACCACGCATCGGCAACAAACAATCATGTGGAGAACGGGACTGCTATACCTCGACCGAGGCGACAGCGCCATCATTTCTGCACTCAGAGATGCGGGGTACAACACCCAACAGGCCCCAGGCTCTCCCACGAGGCGATTCTCCACGGCCTCGAGCGACACCGAGATTGTTTGGGAACGACGAGTCAAGCCAGATGTCGCCAGCCCGCCAGGCATTCAGCATTGGGTGGTGCCTTCATCAGACGGCAACAGCCTCAAGTTCAGCCGCCCGCGCCCAAAGCCCGAGGATCCCTTGGATCACCTCTCCCCGTCCTCGGACAGCACCTTGTTTGAAGAACCTCCATCCTACTCGCTAGACCAGATCAAAGAAGACGAGTCCTCGGACGACTACTTCCATTCCCCCGGCCTAGAGAAATCACCCTCATTTAAAGGAGACCGCGAAGATTCCATTCTACCCCAAACCCGTCGCATCCGCCATCAACGCACGCCTTCCTCCCTTCCACCATCACCCTCCATTGCCTCGACCCTCAGCGGCGCACAGAGACTATCGAGAATACTCCCCTCACGCGCAAAGACCAATGACGGACTCCTCCAGCTGCAAGCCGACCCAACCAAGACGCCTCAGCGCCCCTCGACCGGCCACCAGCGCAGGATCTCGCTAGGACTGCCCATCAAGTCTGCCTTGAACGCACTCGATGAGCCCAAACAACTCAGCCCGCCACCCCAATACGTCCCGCCATCCCGTCCCACAACCTCCTCATCTGGCAAGACCACCGCTGCCCTGATACAACAAGAGCGCGAGTTGGAGTACAAGCACCGTCACACGTTCATCGGAACAGCATCGCTCGACGATTTCCTCGAAGTCCTGGATGTCACCCCAGCCCACACCACCACAAAGGCAGCCGTCGTGAGGGCCTTTCTTCTCCTGGCATCCAGCGAGCGTCTGCTGGCCAGACAAGCATCAATGGAGCCTAGTGGCTGGGGATTGGTCGCCCGCACCACATCGGACACGGTCAATGTCGACTATGTCGAGCAAGCCCATGCCAAGCTCGGTTCCATCGTACTGAGACAATTCTTAGATCTGATCCCTTTCAACGAGGACGAAGAGGCCTCGGCCATCAGCGTCATGGAGGCCTTTTCCGCCGCGAGCCATCTGGACACCAAGGCCAGCACTGGCAATGGGAGTAAGGCCAAAGCTTTTCGAAGCTGGCTCGTCAGGCAGGCGCAGCAGTAAAGCTGTGCATCTTTCTACTAGCTTTTCACGATCAGATTTACGATCTTAATGCGACACGACGAGGCTGGAAGATCATGATGTTATTACTATTTGGTTGGATAAGACACCCCTTTTCTGTTTTCTTTTCTTCTCAAGATCTATCCGAGAAAGTCGTTCGCTCCCCCCACTCACTCCTTTATACCTCATCAAAGTCAAAGTCAAAAAATAGTTTTCTTCGGTAGACGCTCGAATATATCGCATCACCGCTATCTTGTCATCATTATTATCATCATTATCATCTCATCCACTCCGCTTGACTGTCATGCTTCTAATCTCAGGTCGTACCATTCGCACACCTGCATTCCCATTCCCAATGCATCCCTCCATCTTGTCTCTGGACTTTCATCAGCATGCATTTGTCTCCTTTTTTTTATAAGCTGTCGCCTTCTTTTTTTTTCTCCTCCGCTCGTGGTATCTTTGCGTCCTTTTTCCATTTTCTACAGCTCGTTGAGCCCGGCACCGTGCTCACATCGAGATGATGCGTTGCACGTGCTACCCACACTATGGATTTTTATGCTCGGTGCAAATTGTGCTCATTGGTTGGAATGATTGTGCGTGAGAAGCTGAGCATTCTTCTCTAGACCCGGGTCAAATACTCCCTAAAACGATGCGAGGCGAGGAATTGTCAAACACAGGTGGAAATGCCTATACATCTGCACATATCTTCGTTCTATGCCGAGATGGGCTAGTTGATGCTGTTGCTGTTGATCCATCAAGACTAGCGTCGGTATCATCTTACATCTCGCACGTCAAACAATCCTAGTTCGCGAACCGCTCATCACTTGCACCTCTATGCGCGTTTTGCTCATTCATCAACCTAAGTCTTATCAGCCAAAGCGAATTCTGGTGTCCAACTTGGTAATGTTCCTATACAACCAGATAGGTGTGAGCAAACAATCTCCTCGCTTCTAGCATGAAGATGATCACGTTGATCCTCACCTCCACCATCCATGCCAAGATGTGGTAAAACTTATCGCGTTTCCAACACCGAAACAATTCTGTAGCAAATGGTGCCCTTGGCTAGCCTCAAGCTATATTTCAAGCTTCTTTTGCCTGAGCTTGCATACTTACTTAGACATAGCTGCCTGGCCATTTTTTCCAACCTCAACATTGCACCCTCGTTTGCATCTCGGATTCCAACCTTGCTCCCCCTACGTGCATCTCACTCATCATCAGGAGTCATTTCCTTCTTTCCGTCAACGTGCTTGAGAAAATATCATGTATATTGACACCGCAAACGCAAATACGCGATCATCGCGCCCCCAGATAATCGTTACGCCATCACACGTCTCATCACCGTACAACAACGATTCGGAGACGCCGCTTCTCGAGACCTTTGTTGGCCAGGATGCTCCGCCACCACCTACTTATTTAGAAGCGACTACACCCGGCCTATACAACGCTAGACTAAGCGGTGAGGAGGGTGCAAGATTACTGTCATTTGATGGGCGACAGGCGCGAGATGCCACCTTCAAGGAAGAGCAGTACAGAAGGAGTTTTTGTCAACAGTGGCTCAAGAATAAATGGTCAAAGATGGTGGCTGGCTTGGTGATTTCCATAATAGTGGTGGCCATCTTAGCTGCCATATTAACAGCAGGGTCTACTCGAAAAGACAAGCAGGTGCGCCAAGTACGAACATGAAAGTTAGTCCCCTAGTAACGATCGTAAAGGCTGCCGTAGTTGGCACATCATCTTCAGCACAGTCGGTAACCGAGGACACATCTCATGTCGATGGTTACATTAGCAATAATGACGATGATTCCGACCGACCTGATCTCATTGCAATCCCTTGGCCAGCGCCTACTACTACATCTGTACAGCCTGCGCCACCCACTGAGTCGAAGGTCATCTTTCCGATCCGATGGCCATCCAAGTGCGGAAAGGACTACATTGTCAAGACGGAAGAACACGACTTTGGGTTAGCGAAAGAACTCGTCATTCAAGAGGCGATACATCAACTAGATGGCCACTACCGACGTGTTTCAGGCTGGATACACGTTGCGCCTGCCCCGGTCGGTCAATCTCCAGCTACTATACAGATGCGACTGTCGTACGCCGTATCCCCATCTGTCAACGCCGAACGTATCCGCCACACGACCACGCCAACAGGGCTCACAATCGGGGATCCTTCCTTTCCCGACGGCTTCGATGGCGTGAGATCTGGCTCTGCCTGTCTGGGCATGGCTGTGACGCTATATGTGGCGCCAGGAGCGTCGCTAGACATGTTCACCGTCGCATCTACCCACATGGGCATGCAAGTTCACAACGGGGTCAACTTGACGGTTACCAAATCAGCATCCATTTCACTCACGACAGGAACCCTCGATGCAGTAGCTTTCAATTCGACAACACTACACCTCAAAACGATTTCAGGCTCAATCACTGGAAAGTACCTACTTCACGACCGCATTCTGGTAGAAACCAGGAGCGGCTCCGTAAACATCGATATTGAACCCCAGGCGACCACAAGCAAGAGCCCCAACCCCGCGACCTTCATAGTCAGCTCGCTCTCCGGCTCCATCCGCACAGACTTCATCCGCAAGCACATTCCCGAGCGCGACTACCAGACCTACATCAACACCACCGTGGGCTCCGTAGACGGCACCTTTATCCACGGCTCGCGCACGGAAATCAATTCGGTGGCTGGACTTGTGGCTGCTGATCTCCTCCCCTTCCATTCTGGTGACCACCAATCAGAGATTTACACAGAAACACATTCCGGACAAACTACGCTTACCGTGCGCTCGCCATACAGGGCGAAGAAGGTACCACTGTCAGGGCTGATTAGCACACATAAGAGTACGTCTGGAAGGTTGGATGTGACATATCCTGAAGAGTGGACAGGCGTGGTCGACGGTACGTCATTGAGTGGCGCACTGCATCTTCAAGGCAAAGAGCTGCAATTGGTCGGTGAGAATGACGAGCCGGGGAAAAATCATGTGGAGGCGATAAAAGGAGATGGTGGGAGTAGCTTGCATTTTGATACGGTTAGTGGGAATTGTGATGTCAAGATCGGGAGATTGTAAAAGGATGGAAGACGAGGCAATGTTTTGAAGCTTTGTCGTACTAGATAGAGAGAGAGAGAGAGAGTTCAATAGACGGCATGCATAGCTAGGATAATAATAGTCTTGACAGTACACCCGTTCGTCCATTTAGTCCAACATCCTACTCAACATGGTGGGCTGTCGATGTCGTACAGAGAAGCAGCTTAGGCAGCTCTTTAGCAACCAAGCATGTTCAATAATATGCATATCCCTTGGATATTCTATTGGTAATCATCTTGTTGTAGCCGTTGCTGTCGGTCGATCTCCAGATACAACTTGACAAGCTGAATGGCAAGCTGGCATGCACATGGTAGCACATGAAAATCTAGATCTACACCGATCGAATGTCTTCCCAAGCTTAAAATATCGGCCCTGGAGCATAGCGGATCCGATATACCTGCTTGAGATCTGTCCGACGTAGTACACGCTCAAGTTGTACGCGTGTGGGGTTTGTTTGCTCTTGTGATACTTTCACGGACCCGTATTAGAAGTGAGTAAAACTGGTCACCATTGTTGATAAGACGGTCTCGGTTATTGACGGTACAGATGTACGGAAGACACGAAGATCTGTAAACCATTGTCCTAAACGATGAGTTTCGGCCAGCATCCTGTTGGCAAGCGCAATGCGGTGCCTTTTCCCTGTCAATAATCACCATGTGTTGGCCATGCTACTTCGCAGTGTGAGAAAAGATCAGCCGCTGATCCAGTCGCCAGGCTAGTATTGCGAAGTGAGGGTCGGTCAAAGCAGTCTAGGTATCTCTAACTATTGGCAGTTGCGCACAATTGGCGTATCAAGTCTGTGGATTGTCAACGTACCAATGATCTGACTGTCAGCAGTCGCGTTCCTGAGTATCAATTGGACAAAATGGATTTGTGCTTCATGATGCTATCTTTGGCGTGCAAATGAGCTGAGGCATTCATTCTCTCAGACATTTGATCCGGATCTTTCTAGCCGATTTGGAACCCTCCTGCAGTCGGTGTGGATTGTGGAGGACGTTTCCGTGCGACAGAACACGTGGAGATGGACAATGCGACAAACTCCTGTAATTATACGTTGGGCACGCGCAACCTTTGATGTGGGGAAGCTGACCCCTAGTCCTATCCGAGAAATGCTCGCATACGGTGACAGGCAAGGGAGGATTGAAAAAGGCCCAGCAACATATCGGGCCAAAGAATGTCTGAATTCGGGACCCTTCTGTGTTTCTTTCTAGGCAAGATCTCCGGGCACTGACTCTGGCGGTTGTGAAATCCGTCTTAGCTGAAGGAATCGTTTTCTGAAGGGCCGTAAGACTGAAGCTGAGGCATGACAGTGGCTGAACAAGATTTACCTTTCACTCCCACTCACCATTGATGTTTTCAAGCTGCGGATTCGAGCCTTCTGCCGGTGTGGCGTCCATCTCAGGAGAAGATGATACCCGGTAGGAGGTGCAGGCGTTTGACAAATACACACCCTTGTTGGTGGTACAAGGCGGCGGCATACTACTTGAAGTCAAGTCGTAGGATTGTGTTGAAGTCGGTAGGATTGTAAGGAACGAGTGTGCGACTCGTAATAGCAAGCGTTTCCAGGAACAGGCAAAGGGTAACGCTAAGAACGTCGTGACATGTCGGCGTACGATGCCGCACTAGGCAATGAGCGTACAACTCGTGCTCCTTTCGCGACAACCGACGCAACTGTCAGATGTCAAACTGACTCGATAGGAATGCACCCCGTACCCAAAAGTCGCAAGAAATCGGTCAAAGATACGGGCCATGCGACCGAGATCCGAAAGCAATATTGGGTGTAGCATAGCATAGTAAAGCCAGAGCCAGACTACTATACCTATCTGCGCCTCTGTTCGGCGGCCAGCTGGACGGCAAGGCATAGTTGGAAAGGAGGACGGTACGGGTACGGGTATAGGTCAAGGACCCATACCGGTACAGCTGAACAATCGAAGCCGAATTCCGTTGTGTGAGGAGTCGATCCTACCGGTCGGTACATGGCTGCGAATCATCTGGCCAGCATTCGAAAAAAAAATCAGCAATGGTGCGGGAGAGTTGCAAGATGGGTGTGGACTGGCGTTCTCCTTCAGCTCCAGGTTGTTTGAGGTGTGTTTCGGCTTTGTTGCGTCGCGTAGTCGAAAGTGTGGGTCTGGCCACTATGTACGGTACCTACCTACCATAAGGGTAACGTTACGGTACGAAGCGACGGCTTACTCATCCCATCTGAGTCTTTGAAACCACGTACCGGTACTGGAGACAACCATCCCCAATCAGCCCGCTACACTGGATTGCCCACTACTTCGAATGTAGCCAGTCCTGTTATCGAATTGACCGGGCATGCGGTTTGCAAAGTCGGGCTACTGCAACCTGATACAATCACGAGTCACATACCGGTACTATACATGGGAGTAGGAGGTATGCACACCCACCCTCTCTCGCAAGAGCCCCATGCTTCCAGAAACAACGCTCAGCGTCCCAATCAAGTCCTGAAACATGACTCCAGGTCGCAAAGAGTGTTGGATTTCACGCTCGGCTGATCTCGTGGGCCTTCGGTTCCCTGCTCAGATAGCTCATAATGGATGTTGGCACTGCTCTACCCATGGCAACACCACTGCCCTGGCCGCAAGGGACGCCTGCTGGCTGTCGTAAACCTGTCCGTCCGGGTCACCCGAGAGGGCAAGAGTGTGTTGGGTGGTGCGATTGTGCCGAATATGTCTAATCGCCATAGTGTATCCCCAGCAGCCTTGCGCTGGGTCCACCATCCACCACACGATGCCCGCCAGACGCTCTTTTGGACGAACGCTTCTGATGTGTCCGTTCCAGATCACCTGCAGCCAAGGCGCGTCGCGACACTTCTCTCAAACCTGACCTCGTGTAGTTCTGTTGCGTCAACCCTCGCGAAGATCATTCCTCCTCGCTGTTGCCCACGGAATCCGCACTTCCGTATTTTCGCCATATACTCTAACGAACCCCTCCAACCATTTTCCATTCCATTTGGCCCCGTCACTCTTTAGGAACCAGCTCAGTTACTTCGTGTACACATCTCTTTCCTTTTTGGAGCCGGCTCCATCCGCGCTGGCAGCATTGGGAACTCTGTTCTCCGTTCACTCATTTGATCTAGTCCCGAGGTTCCTTTCGCCACACTTGCTCAGCCATAGTCGTACAGCGTTATCGCCTTGACACATTCCTTAGACTGCGAGTCTCTTCTTTCATTACTAAAGTGAGTACGCTGTGCGCGCCTCCTCTCCCTTACTCCGCCTGACAGGCGACCCCCGTGGCGGGCCGTTGCCAGTCAAGCGGTATACTTTGCCGCTTTTCGCGAACCATAGACGGCCTATTCTGTTGCTTACTCTTCTGTCATACAGGCGGCCTGCAAAACTTTCGCTAAGGCCTCTGTATAAAGACGAACGATTAAAGATGGAATTTAATGCGGTTCAGCAGTACGTTACCTGGATCGATCGGATCTCGCGTTGCTAGCGCAAACTAATAAGAGCTTATAGATACCGCCCATCACATAATAGACCGTATACCATGGGACAGTCTTCACCTACACCGGGGGATCAGATGATTTACACATATGGTGCCCAGTCTTTACATGGCCAACAACCACCGCAAGGCCTACAGCAAATCTCAAGACCATCGCCACCACAGGCCACGTGGGCGGTGCCACAGACCCACAACCATTACTATGCAATGCCACGCGGACCTCATATGAGGAACAGAGACGAAACAGATCATATAGCAAGATCGAACATCAACACCTCTCAGTCCCCTGCCATCAGCACTTCTGCTTATAGCAACAGTATGCGTGGCACCGAGTTACCTGCAACAACAGATTACTTCCCTGGCGTCATTGACACAAGTACTGATCCCTCCCAATACCCAAAGGATGCAGAACTGACGATCAAAGGTCCGTGGGGTCAGAAGGTGTGTGAAGAGCTGGAAGCATTCCCCTCCCTGGACGCCGATGTTACGGACTTTAGTCATGGCCTGATGGGCCAAGATGAGAACGCACCAATAATCGACTTACGACAGTATACCAGCATGGGACAACACGAATCTGAGAACATTCAATCATTCAACCCAAACTCCACACGCCGAATGTCTGAGTCCTCATTCTCAATGTCAAGTACTGGTGGTGTGTTGCCAGAAACTACTTCCTATGAAGACATAGGATCAGCGGAAGCATTCTCATACGCACCAGAATACGAAACATGGCGGCACTCTGATCCCTCTGCTGGTCATCTACTATCGCCGCTTGCCTCACCTCGAAGACCGCAGTACGATGGCGTCGTTCGTGGCTCCAGTCGAACTCGCGCTTCTCCCGCTCCCCATAATAACGTTCGGTCATCCCCGTACACACTTGGGAGCAGCCGGTACAAGAGATGGTCCACTGGGGCTGCACCTACGTCTACTCCAACGAATTCGCGCCCAATGTCGCAAGCGATGGACCGTCATGCACCGTATGGTCCGCGTTCCAACCCTCACCACTCAATGCCAACCTATCCGCCAAGCGCTTACAACAATTTCTTTACTCCTGCGCAGCAAAACGTACTATATTCGCACAATCACCATGTCCATCCTGGGAATCAATCGCTCTATGCTTCTCAAGACCCATCTTTTCAACTGGAAATACCGCGACCTGTACCATCTCAAGGTCTTTTCCGCCTGCTACAGAGCAACGCAGATCGTCATGGAGGTTGCTCCTCACACTTTGCAGATCTCTCCGATCCACCTGATCTATATTCATCATTGCATGAAGAAGCCTCAAATCCACCAGAATCGGATATGAACCCCTCGGATCCAGATCTTGTCCCGCATGAACAAGATCTCCGGTTCGTGGGCGACCTCTACACACCCCGATGGGTACGTGGCCATGGAAACAAGCGCGAAGGATGGTGTGGACTTTGTAAGCCCGGTCGCTGGCTTGTGCTCAAGAACAGCGCTTTTTGGTACGACAAATCGTTTACCCATGGTGTTAGCGCAGCTACTGGGGCCGCATTTCAAGGTCCACAAGATACCCGTCGTACCGAAGGCAATCTCGACGTCTGGGAAGGACTTTGTGGCAGCTGTGGCGAATGGATTGCGCTTGTAAGCAGTAAGAAGAAAGGAACGACCTGGTTCCGGCATGCATACAAGGTAAGTGGTGTTTTGCCCAGTCCCTTACATTCCTGGTCCAATCTTGCTCGTTCTACCTATCCCACGCCTTTGATTCGACTGTTTAACACACTTCGTATGTGACACAAAGCCGAATGTTTGCTAACACCTCAAATGTAGTGCCACACGCATCCCAAGGTGAAAGATGGACCCAAGCGGCGTCGTGAAACCCAAGCTGGACGTGTGCGCGCTGCATCGTCTGCCTCGACCACATCGTCGCCTCATCCTATGAAGCAGGAGAAATCGCATACTGATGCAATGCCACACCGACATTCCACGCCGATGCCGATTACAAATACTTCTTCACCCTTGCCGAACTCTACCACTTCGGCGCCAACGCAGCTCAGCTCCTCGGGTTACCCGAGTAGCACGTCCTACCCTACTTCAGCCTCAGCGACGCCGACAAGCCATCCAATGCGCACACCGACTGCATCTTCATTCACTGAAGCTGGCCTAGAGACGTCGAGTATAAATCAGCCAGTGGTTGGCATGTTCACTACTCCATTGCAAAGCCTCTCGAGCTTTTCCGGGACGCAACAACATGCACAGCATCTTGGACACCAAGTCAGCGAGCCAGAACTCGTCGGTATACGGACGACAACTTCCTCGCTCAATTCAATCGCGAGCATGATTTGAATTGAATCGTCTATGATTGGCGGCAATGCAGACGGCTCAACGTTGGCGTAGAGCTCTCACACCTTCTCTTCTTATAGGGATAATGTTATCTGGAAAAAAAATTACTTCAGGAAGGTGAAAATTTCTGTGTGGCAGCCTAGTGTCACTTTGCTCTTTCTCCATTCATTACTCTATTGTCCATCCTTTTCTTCTTTTTTGGTTTTCCAATAACTAGCGGATAGACACGGCCCAGGCTTCTTGTTCCAACCATTTCTCCTCACATCGTCCATCATGTTTCGCCTTACTTTTGTTGCATATCCAAAGGAAAGGTTAGCCTTACGAAGTTACGACTTCCAGCATGAGGTCTTGTTTTGGGTTAACTAGCGATCGATTCCCCCACACCACGCTCTCGCACGTAGATAGATCCCCTTTATGTTTATAGACTTCTTTTGGTCTCCAACGAAGACTCGCCTCGCGGTTCATTATATCGGTCTATTCATTTCCCATGGCTTGCTTATACACATACCTACTGTGCAAGATTGACCTAAGACGACCCTCTTACACAGGGCAGGACGTTGACAAGACCCATCTACCGAATCCTCCCCCCACCGTGCTCAAAAGCCCGACGTGGATTGCTCCTCCGCACACCTACTGTACCGAATGAGCTACTGTTTTAAATCGACTCCAGTCATCAGACAAAGCTCAAACATGCTGAACGCGTTACATACCCTCAGCTTCGGGATTGGAGGATCTACGGCCAACACATGCCTGTTACCCCTTGAAACAGCATTTGCATCAGCGTGGGCATGGCCACGGACCGATCTAGATACAGAGCGAAACCGACCTTGGGTTGAGATGGTCTTGGCTACGCGGTCACTTGTGTTGGTCGACGCTGCAATAGGTGGCAGTGCAACATCATATGTTTGTTACGAAATACTAGTACGTATGATACGTATGGATTGGTAAGCAAAGGGTGTCGCTGGAATCTGAAGGCTTAGCCGCTTTTAATGTTTCAGTCTAGTAAGCCAAATATGGCCGTGACTGCTCTATTCATTGCATGGTATGTTTTTTACGACGGGAATCTATCACGTTCGCGCCAGTAGATATAGCCAACGTCAGATTCACACAAGGCCATTTCCGGGGTGACGTGGAGATATCGATGGCTATGCGAACATGATCTGCATTAACATGGAAATCAAACGTGATAAGAGGTTAGGATAGGAGAGGCAGTTGAAAGCGATCGGTGTGGGTGAGGCTTTGGTTCAATATTTTGAGGCCTGATGCAGGACTACTGCAGTTGATCCTCATCTTTCCAACAAGAGATTCGGTAGTCCCACACCAAGCCATCATTAGCAAATCGTCTGTGCATTGTAGACACACCGATTACTTTGCATTTCGAGGCAAACTGATTATGCTGAACAACCACAGCCCGGCTTCCCATGATGGTTTGGATCATGGGAAGCGTTCTGTACAATCTCATTCACTGATTCCGCAGATAACCCCAGGACTCTGTTGGCGCTTTTTGATATAAATGGACCCGAAGCGTTTAGTAGCTCATCGTATAGGATACTACGATCCAACAAGAACATGCCAGAATCAGGAAATCCTTTTGCGGTTCTTGCCTCCCCTTTTCTTGTGCACTCTTCCACATCGTAATTCCCAACTGTACACTCGCGGCACGTTGGCTGATGTAATGGCACCGCTGGCGTAGAGGTAGTGATTTTGAGTTCATCCCAGTGCTCGATGATGCAAGCAACCGCACGTCCCACTCTTTTGCAAGCTAGATACCGCAAATGGTTCTGTGCCGATACCATGAAAGGTAGCGCTGTGCCATTCCATATCGAATCCCAGGCTGCCGTTGATAAGTATGTTGTCGAGTGTGTAATCGGTTGCGAGGTCAATTCACTCGAAGCCGACTCTCTCCTTGGCTTGGTTCTGCAAGCACTCAATTACCTTGAACCGTCCTGCGTACTTGGCTACACTCTTTTGGATCTCTCTGTTCAATGTGTTTGTGGCCAAATTGGTGCGGCATGAATCGCGTCACGCCTGTAGCGGCGGCCGCATCAATGATATGCATCTGCATATCTATATCTCCACCGAACATTGTATTGATCGGTAGATCCTGGCCTGCGAAGGCCTGTACTAAGGATGAAGGGGTAAACTCTGGCGTGACATGGTGCACGTTGGTTGACTGTACATGCAATGGAAGAGATAGAGTTTGCGACAGAAACGTCAAAACAGTTATTCCATACGTGGAAGGTTCGGAAGAAGGTTTTGAGGGAAGCAAAGTGTTGATGATGGAGAGGCAGAGCTCCCAGTGCTAGGTATACCGGTACCGGTAATGGTATTAGTGTGATCGCACCAGCTCAAAAGATGCACAGCATACTCCAATTACAACGATTTTCTGGATAGCCATGTGGGATCATAGATGGGATTATGGTTTCGTGATGATTTGGATTTGTGTTAGTAATTTCACCATCTCTGTTCATGAGCTTGAGGAGAACGGTCGGCAGCTGGCTCAAGGGAAGGGGCTGACGAAATCAGTCTTGCACTATGCGTACATTGATTTTCAATGATCATCCTGACACAGGTCTTGAGTCAAGATGGAGTGCGGAGGTGCAGTGAGACGACTTCAGATAGCCATAGGTAGAGGTAGTAGGCAAAGGATCTCAAATGGGTATCTGCCAAGACTTCTAATCACGTGATGTGGAAGCGTGAGAGCTTTTGCCGACGACAGCTCCAGCACCGCCGACTCTCCCGCGAACGCAAACCCCACTCCATCACTGCTCATCTCCTCCGGGCTCCGAAACAGTCGTCCAGTGCGTGCCTTACACTCTCACAAGTTCGATAGCCAAGCCATTGGACGACCGCAGCAGCGCGCTGACGTACAATCCCAGATAGCCCACCATGAACGCCCGCTTCCTCCGCCCCTTCACAAGGGCCGCTTTCCGCGCGCCCACGGCTGTCCGCCCCACGGCCATGGCCCGTCCTGCGCTCGTGGCGAGCCAGACCAAGAAACCCGAGGTTGGCCCTCAGCAGATGGTGAGGACATGGCCCGCTCCCGGTGCATGGTAATTGACGGAGCCCCAAGGATTGACTGACTGACTCTATGGCAGACTGTGTTGAAGTCGGCGATGCCTCAGCTCATCCCCTTCTTCTTTGTCAACGAGACCACCGTGGCCTTTATCCTCCTGCCGTCGCTCATCTACGTCTTTTCCAAGTACATTCTGCCCAACCGTGTGCGCCTGTTCGCCGCCCGGCTCTTCATCAGCAAGTTGTAGGCAAAGGAATTACGGGACAAGATGGCATGGGAAGAGTCTAAGAAGGGTGTGTACAGATAGTGAACACGTGTTGATAGACAATTGATAGACAATTGACTGGCTCTTACATAAGGAAGCCGTGGCTAGTCGAGTGAAAGTGATAATCTACCCGTGTGAGAATCTGTGATTGCTGGCCCAGGATGCTATCTTCGGATAGACCATGGCAACCTGTAAAGAGTGTCGATGCATAGCTATGGAAAGTAGAATTTGACGTGAAAACTACGACTATGGCATGGCGCCAAGGACATTGGATGACTCTCTGAGTAAAGAGGCGTCTTCCAAGGTGCATTGAGAGGAAGCGAGTCAGCTAAGTCAAGGACAAGTCCCAATGGCTACGAGATTGTAATGTAGATCCAAGCATGGTAGGCATGCGAAATTCCTCAAATGATTCCCCCCCAGGTTCGGAACTGGCCGTTGCAGTCACGTGCATACTCTATGGTCCATCAAATACATAAGTATGGTATGTGGGTAATCAGCCACCGGTTACTCCGACTCGGCCAACCCGCCCAACATGGTCGCGTCACGATGCACACCATAAACATGCACTCTAGGATCACGATGTTACCCACCCTAGGTATTACTTAGTAGTAGGTCACCGTCGCTAGCCATCAACCAGGTCACCTGAGGGCGTGCCACTTTGTGATTGTCACTTGCTTGGCGTGGCGCCGGTGAGGACGGTAGGTCAGGAGGGATTTCGTCTTGGCGCATCATGGGCGAGGACCGAGCACAAGCATCCAGTCTTCATGAGCTCACCGAAGTCACCGAAGAGGCCTATCTGGCTCGACATGCTCTTGATCACAGACCATCAACATCAGCGCATGCCATGCCGCCCGATGAACACGTACAGACGGCCGCAACCGACAGAGACCTGCAGCAGCGAACATTGCGCAAGTTAGACTGCCTGTTGCTGCCATTCCTCGCCCTTCTGTTCCTCTTCAATGCCCTGGACAAGGCGAATGTACGTGTCCAACATGGCAGGCCGCTCGTCGTCGTCATTCGTGTGTGTTAGATAAGAATCATAACCGAGTCGCTAACCTGCCACGTCGTAGATTGGAAATGCGGAAACTGCCCATTTCACTGCAGATATCGGCCTCGAGAAGAGCGACCTGAACACGGCCGTGGCCCTTTTCTTCGCCTTCTTTGTCGCCCTACAGCCACTTGGTGCAGCTCTGGGTCGGAGATATGGCATGGTCTTATGGGTGCCCAGCTGCATGTTGTTATGGGGGCTATGCACTGCCTTGCATGCTTGGGTCCAGCACAAGTGGCAGCTGTATACCCTGCGCATCCTTATCGGATGCCTCGAGGGTAGGTCCTGACCGTGCATACTCAAGATGCGCATAACATGAATGTGTGCGTGTGCTGACCCTCTTTGTAGCCGGCTTCTACCCAGTCACCGTCACCTACCTCTCTCTCTTCTACACCCGTTTCGAATTCGGCAAGCGACTTTCACTCTTTTATGGACAAGCAGCCGTGGGCGGAGCACTCGGCGGTCTGATAAGCTACGGTGTCTTCTCTCGCTTCCAGGACGACCGTACCGGCGCGGGGAAACTGCCCAAATCGCCATGGCAGGTTCTCTTCCTGCTCGAGGGAATCGTCACTATGCTGGTCGCAATTGTCGGCTATTTTTGGCTCCCTCACAGCGTTGAAACAGCCTGGTTTCTATCTCCAGACGAACGACGATACGCAGCTACACGTATTGTATCTGACAGGAATATGCAGACTGCCCCTGCGGCGGCTCAGCGACCTTACGATGAGGAGGAGATGGAGTACAACGAAGAGTCTCGTGGCCTCTTGCCTACCTCAAAACCATTCATATCTGCTTCGCAACATCTTGTTGATGACCGCGGCCTTAGCCCCCACGATCTTGTTGCAGCCGTCTTCAACACCAAGATCTGGCACATTCTGGTCTGCAATATCCTCTCTGCTATTCCAGTCTACGCATTCTCCGTCTTCCTGCCACTAGTTCTTGCCCCATTGCTGGAGAAGCAAGACCCTGCTCTGATCAATTTACTGACTGCGCCACCGCACATCTGTGGTGCCGTCGTACTCTTCTTTGCTGCAGGATATAGCGACAAGCACCGTATACGTCTTGTTCCAGTGCTGTGTGGCTTGGCTGTCATGGTCATAGGGCTGATTATGGTAGTTGTACTTCCCATGTCTTGGGCGGTGCCACGATACTTGGCCCTCTGTGTGCTCTTGTCTGGTACTTACGTTGCGTCGCCACTAACCGTCGCATGGATCTCCGGAAATACCCCCTCCCCAGGAAAGCGCGCAATACTTCTTGGAATAAATGGCTGGGGCAATCTAGCAGGTGTCCTTTCGGCCATGCTTTTTAACCCAAGATACGCTGAATCGGGCTATGTAGTGCCCTTTGGGTGGACGCTTGCATGTGTAGCAGTGGCCGCACTAGGTTATGTTTTGTTTCTGAGACGTCTCAAGTCGGAGAATGACGTGCGGCGGAGTCTCCTGGCCAGATGGACTATTGAAGATATAGAGAAGGAGAATCTAGAAGGTCGAGGCCCGCTTCCCTCGGATCGCGAATGGTTGAAGCGAGTGGTCAGGTTGATGCGGTCAAACACAAGCCTTTTGTGGCTTGCTGACTGGTTGGAACAAGCTGCTCTAGCTGGTAGGCAGGGCGATGAAAAGACTACATTTGTTTACGGATTGTAAGTTGTTTTGGAACGATATTGGAGGTACGGCTGCTTCACTTGATACCCATTTAGAGCATTCACGGCCCATTGTAAAGCTGTTCAGACGCAGAAACGAGCTTGGTACATGGCCAATGACACATATTCCTAGCTTCAACTTGACGTGGTAAATAACCACATGCGTGACTTATTTCAAGCTCATTCTTTTGATCAAGCCACTTCTAGGATCCGGTTCTTTGCGCCTTACCCATCCATGTGTTGGGTCAAACCCATCTCTGGAATATAGGTATGTCAAGATTATAGGACCATGGCTCTCGGCATTCAATGCCAAAAATCTTCTTGGTTAAAGGTAATTGTACAGGATCTTGCTCGCTAGCGTTGTTGTGCCACCTAGGCAATACAATAGTTGCGGGTAGTAATTCGGAGGGCTGAGAAAGCATCATGTCATTCGTACGCATTCCTGCGCACTGCATTCACTCCAACTACCGATACTATCCCATATTTGTACATGCATCTCATCAGACACCAAGCGGACTTCTACAAAAAGCTACCAATACTGCGGTTTCCGGTGAGCAGGGCAAAAAGGCGGGGGAAAGCCAGCACACGCGCGAGTCCAGATTGTGGTTGGTCATGTATCTGGCTCAGCCTCTGCGAGAAGGCATCAAAGAAGCCTCGCTTGCCGCCAGCCTAGCCCGCCTTGTCTTCACCGGGTGCCTGGATTGGGTATTGGCAAGCGAACACCAGGAGCCTCCCGCGTGACGACCATGCTAGATAAACCCTTTGGAATGTCCATTATTGCTGTTCTGAAGATGCTTTGGGAACCCAAGGCGGAAACCTCTCTCGCAAATACACCATGGCACCAGCTGCAGAGCCAAAGACTAAACAAAAAGAAGGGGAGAAGGCGAAGGTGAAGGCGATGACTGCGTTACGGAAGGGGGCAATGAAGACATTTGAGAGTTGGTATGCTGAGCCTCCACCTTACAGCTCCCAGGCACCATCAATTGCATCGGCTTCGTCCACGGTCCAACAAAGTCTGCCCAAGGGTTGTGTCCCTACGATTGAGGACCTTGATTTCCGGCCAAGTCGTCTCGAGATTCCAACACCAGCTGAGTGCATAGCGCACTTGAAGCTCCTCCATGCGTTTGCCAAGTTACGGAGACATGTTGGAAACAGGGAGGGTTTGTATGGGATCGGGATGGAGGACGAGGACCTAAGGTTGATGGATCAGAACGACTGGTTGGTGTCCGCAGACGAAGGCTCCCAGATCAACGGTACCCACACGCGAGATCCGTTGCAAGCAGCCCTTGAGTCGCAGCCATCTAGTTCGTCTGCAAGCATTGATGCCAGGCTTGCAGAAAGAATCCGTGACAAGAGGTGGGCCATATTTGTTGCCAAGGCTGTGGACAGGTACCAAAAGTGGTGGAACGCGCCGCGTGGACGATTCCCAAACACTGGAGTCGGGAGGTTCCCTCGCTTGACGACGACCCGCGACTTTGAATCCGGATCTCTCTTTGACGGTATATTCTCCTCAAATGTCGTCCAGGAAGGAACAGAATGTACTGATGGATAGTGATAGTGGCCGGGTTTCCGTTCTCTGACGACCCTAAAGAAAGGGTTGAGTTGCCTCCGCTGGATGTACTCATGGTGTGGCACACCCACATGCTTAATCCAAGGATCTATCTCGAGGACTGTATAAGACAAAATCGGCACGCACAGTGGCACGTCAATTTCCCATGGGAGAAAATTTACGCGGCTATAGACAATGCGACATTCGAGTACACACAAGAGGATAAGCATCATTTCAGGTTAACGGCGAAAAGACCATGGGATCCTTTAGCAGATGAGGAACCGAAGGAGCTTACGTGCCCGAAATGCGACTCTAGTAACAGAGTACCATGGACAATGCCGCCTTCTTCATCAAGACCGGAAGCTTTGCAAATCTATCTCTCCGAGGACACTGGTTACGCAAGCAAAACCTTTCGCCATGATTGTCGAAATTGTGGCATCACTCTTCATCACGAAATACTTCGCGTGGGCAAGTTCATTAAAGATGCCGACGATCTTCGCAAAGAAGATAAGCCTCTCCCTGGCACCATACTAAATAGCCGTGGTGAACCGGCAACCACAGCGCCAGGCAAGAAAATCAGTACACACGATCCTTTTTTCCCTAATCGGTGTGTTCAAACAAGACCCGAGTTCAAGCCGGATGCCATACGAGAGAGCCTCTCAAATACGAACGGTAGCACTGTAGAGGGGCTCAAGAACCTGTTCTCCAATGCCCTGCATTCGGTGTTCGATCTCAAATATATCAATGCGTCCCAGTATACGCCGGAATTCGTCGCAAAAGGGAGCCGTATGGCGATACGTCAACTCATGAGCCGGTATTGGGACAACTCGAGTAATTTCGGGATCGACCTTGTCGGTGCGGTATTACGGCAAGGCACGTTTGTGCAGAAGATGGTCAAGATTGATTGGTTGCATAGCCCGAGTGTGAAAGCTACAACACAGCGCCTGATTGTAAAATATCACCGCTTCGTACTGCTCTCGGCGGATTCCCCAAATTGTATCGTTGTGCCAACTTTGGATGTGGATCTAGCTTGGGTGAGTTCTCCTGTCTATTCTGTTTCTATCTGCAAAACCCTGCGCTCGCTGTGTACCGGTAAACGATGCTCAGTGGATAATAGCATACCCACCAACTCACCCCGAGCATATATTACCGCTATACCCTCGCCGAAACCAAGAAATTCCTGAACCACGACGACAAGATCCCGGATAGTGATCTCCACAAAGCTTTTCAAGCTACCTCTCTCGCCTATGAGAAAAAGTATGCCCAGCCTTACGCTGAGTGCAGTTGCTGGTACTGTGAATGCACACGTGAGCCGCTCCGTTCCAGTTTCCTCAATCGTGTTTCCTCTCTCCCACGCCGCCGCTCCAGCATCAGCGTCTCAGCTCTCGACTCCAACAACTTCCCCAGGGAACCGCATCTCGGGATCCATGTGAGCAACCACAACGCCCTCGCCAGAACCGATGAGCGCAGCGCGGCACGTAGACGGAAAGAGCTCGAAGACCTAGACATCATGTATGCCAAAGTATGTAAACGATATGAGAAGAATCGCAAGATTAAAGAAGCGCCCTCCCGGGAAAGCAAAGATGATGCGTATCTGTATGGCGCATATGGCTATCCAATGTACTACCCCATGCCCATCTTTGTCCCCTCTTATGCGGAGCCAGGTGTTAGCCAGGATCATACACAGGTTCCAGCAGGAGGAGGGTGTGTGGCGGGAACTTGTGCGGCAAGTGCAAGTTTGGGGGCCTGTGCCGGGGGCGGGGGCACGCCGGCATGTGCGGGGAGTTGCGGGGGAAGGGGGCATGCAGATGGAGGTTGTGGTACGGGTGGCAGTTCCGGGGGCGATGGGGGCGATGGAGGCGATGGGGGCGATGGAGGCGATGGGGGCGATGGAGGCGATGGGGGCGATGGAGGCGATGGGGGCGATGGAGGGGGATGTGGTGGGTGTGGTGGGTGAGTGCAGCGATTATCTTTGATGAAAGGATGGATATGATGAAGAATGTAGTGGCCAGGGTGGGTAGGCTGCTCTCTTTGCAGATGGACTGGTATAATGTTAGATTATCTTCTTGTACTCTGATCTTCTTGGCGGACAGTGGTCCCCCTTTTGATCAGACCAACTCATCTCGCACCACAACGCACCGAGGCGCATGGAATTAATAACAGTGGTACAAGTAATTCTTAGTTTCCTTGAAGGTTCTCCTATATACCGTCGCCACCAGGCTTCTTGTCCTTCTCCAAGTAGTCTTTGATACTGAACATGCCAGTGCCTCTCTCCAATGGTTTCGCCTGTGTAGGACTTGGCTTCCAACCAATCATGTAAATCAGTCGAAATGTCGCTGGTAGAGTGCCATCTTCGTTCCCATGTAGCTCCCTGTATATTGGTTCAGCAGCCAGCAGCACATCTCGATGTATGGCACCCTTCTCGCGCGTGATTACCGCATTGGATTCTCCCATGGCTTGAAGGTCCTTCATCAAGGATGTCACATCCGGATAATCGACGACAATGTCATCGATATCCACGGTCAGAAGATTGAAGCCGGCCTTCTGTAGAAGACCACCAATGTCCTTCACATCGGCCAGCGGTGAAGTATGAGTGGAAACACCCCCGCGGCGGTCCTGCTCAGCGAGTTGCAGGGATGTTCGTAATTCGTAGAGACTGTCGCCGCCCATCATGACGCCGATGAACGGGCAATCGGGTTTGAGTATGTTATTGGTTTGCGCTAGAACCGAGGGCAGGTCATTGATCCAGTGGAGACTCAGGCTGCTCAGGACAGCGTCAAAGGTGTTTGCTTCATATGGGAGTAGTTCTGAAGTTGGCAAGACTTGTCGCACAATGTCTATTTCTTTATTGAAGGGCAAATCTGCATCTCTGTACAGAAGTGTTTCGGACGACTCAGCGGCAATCAGGGTACCAATGCGCTTGGACCGTGGACCTTTGTCGGGTTCGTCCTCGGAGGGCAGCGTGAGCATCCGAGCGATGTTGCACGCGTTGGCACCAAGATCAAGCACCTTTGGAAAATGGCGATTGATGTCCTTTGAGTTCGTGAGCGGTGTACAAGGAAAGCTGGACGGCTGGTTGGATCGCACGCACCAAAAGTCGCTCGCATAGGCGCGAAGCAACCTCATCGCGAAGGTAGTCGACGCTCCTACTCAGTTCGACCTGTGAGGCAGCTCGCTCCTTTTGCATCCACTTCTGTTGATTGCTGAATATCTCCATCATTGGCGCGCCTGGGGCCTGAACTGCATAGCGGCGCATACTTTGGAGGGGTAGGCAGCGGCGCGTCAATGGAGGAATAAACGCGCGAATTGAGTAGGTAGTCATGATTGAGCGGTTGAGCGATTGGGCGGATGAAAGCAAAGGCAGAAAAGGTTTGCAGCTCGCCGACCGCAATGGCAATGGCAATGGCAATGGCAATGGCAAAACGTTGTAACTGATCAGTAGGAGACCAAGAGCGTGTCGTCACGTGTATTTCGAAAGGACCAGGACTAGTACGTCAAGACCCTGAATAACGTGATCCACCACCGAGCGCCCACCCCCACCGAGCGCCCACCAACACCAAAATCACTAAATTTTTAACACTAAATTTCTTAATAACTATAGCACCTATTAATAACGCGCTTATAGCAATTAAATCCTTAACTCTTAGAGAAGATTTTATATACTTAGAAATAGTAGAAAAGTATAGTTACTTGTAGTTAACCTTATCTAGACGCTACTAGAAAATTTAGTAGGCATATACTACTACTCTACTAAATAGTTAAATACTTAATACTATATAAGAAAGTAAGCTTATAAAGTATATTAAAGAGCTTTATAGGTAAGGATTACCCCCTATATAGACTATTATTTAAAATTTTATAACTAAAATAATAAGGAATCTAGTAGGTAAAAATTAGGTATAGCGCTTTATTAACTACTATAATATTAATCTTATCTCCTATTAGGCTACTAGGCTTAATTATAACTACTTTAAAGCTAATTCTACCTTTAAGTATAGCTTATACTTTAAGCTTTTATACTAAAAAATAAAGTAATATAATATTAAGAGTTAGTATATCTATAATATAGATAAGAAGGGTTTTCTTATTAGAGTACTATTAAAAACTAAATATATATTTAATAAGAGCGCCTATAAGTAGAGAAAGATTAGAGCTATACTCTAGGATAGTAATAGGGAGTGGATTACTACTATAGCTTGCATATACGCTAATAGTACTACTCTTACCTCTACCCTTATTTATTAGTCCTAATCTAGAGCTCTATAGGATACCTAGTTATAAGATTTTAACTTATTATAATACTAAGCTTTCTTTATAGGATTACTAAGTAGGTAGATAAGCTACACCCTAGGGGTATCCTAGCTTAAGGAGGTGTTTAATTATAAGATAAAAGCTAAAGCTTATATTTTATACTAGCTCCTTATCCTTAATAGCTATAAATCTTATATAATAATAAAGTTTATTAAGTACTATAATAAATATAAGATCCTACTTATAATATATCCCCCTTATAGCACTTACACCCTTTAGCTACTTAATATTATAGTATTTACTCCCTTTGTAGCTTTATATAAAGCTTAACTATCTAGTTTTCTAGATAGCTCCTAAGGGCTTATAAGCATTACTAAGAGGGATTTCTACTAGTTATTTAATACTATATAGAGTAATACCTTTAAGGAAAAGCTAATATTAATAGCTTTTAAAGTAATAGGTATCTTACTACTTAACCCTAATATTATTCTTTTAAGGTTTAAAGCACCTATAAATAATAGTAACTAGCCTTCTTTAAGTAATAGTATAACCTTAATATTAAGTGCAAGCAATTAGAGAAAGATAGAGTAGTTACTCTATAATACTATAATTAATATCTATAATAAATAGTTAAAGAAGCTTAGCTAGATAATTTACACTATATTAGTAAGAAATACTCTACTTAACTATAAAAATAAACACCTAAGGGCTACCCTAGCTAATAAGAAGAAGCGTAGGAAGCGTAGTAAACCTCTATTATTACCCCCTAATAATAATTATAGTAGTAGTGCCTAATTTATTTTACTATTAAAGGTAGAGCATAGTGTTTCGAAGCTCTAGGAGTAAAAGAACCTTAAAGAATAGGAGCTATAATACTAAAAAAGCAAGGTAATTAAGCTTTATAAGTAATAGAAGCTTACTAAAGCTTAACTTATAGAGAAGCGTTACCTAAATTAAGTAATTACTAAGAAGGAGTAGGAGGAGAAAGCTACCTAAAAAGCTACTACATATAATAAGTAGAAAACTACTAAGTAACTAGAAAAGTAACTCTAAAATAATATTAAAATATCCTAAATAGGTAAGAGGTAAATCCTTAAGCCTCCTACTATTATACTAGCTAAGGTGGTTAATAAGGAGCTAGTAGAAGAGGATATAGTAGTGGAGGCAACTTTACAGCGTGGGCGCCTAATTAGACCCCCTAAAAAGCTGCTTATATAATCTAAAATATTTAATCTACTCTAATAGATCTAATAATCGCGACTCTAAGAAATCTCGTGATAATAGCTATTGTGGGTGGCGCAATATCCTCATTTAGTGGGTGGTGGATTTTGGTGTTGGTGGGCGCTCGGTGGGGGTGGGCGCTCGGTGGTGGATCACGTTATTGACCACCAATCGGCGTTTCGCTTCCCCGAGCCTCGACATCAACCATGTGCCCTCAGTTCATTGTGACAGTTGATGGAGTCGGACGCGTGAAATGGTGAATTGCTCTACATGCAATGTAACGCAATATAGCTACCCACTCCAGAAGGAAAAGCACAGCCAAACACAGTAGGTACAGCCAGATTCCACTGCCTGCCTCTCTCAGTCATTCATTTTCGACTACCAGGTATTCTACCACTACCGGTACCGGTAGGCTCCACCGCCAGAGTGACAGCACCTACCACGCTGTTCCCATGACTGCTCACGTATAACTAACATATACGTACTTTCTTAGAGCATCACGTACGCTCACTCTGGCCGAGGGCGAGCGAGGAAACAGCTAGCATGGCACAGGCGTTTCCCTACACATTCTACGCATGCGATTGCTTCGACAGCAACGCCGTCACCCCAAACAAACACGGCGCCTCGCAGCTGCTTGCCGCAGCCGCAGCTGAAGAGGACGAGCGCAACTTCGACCCGCAAAGCCCACGCTCCAACTACTCGCTCTACCCGCTCGAACACCTCCTCTACTGCGAGGACTGTCAGCAGATTCGATGTCCGCGCTGTGTTATTGAAGAGACGCTGAACTGGTACTGCCCGCATTGCCTATTTGAAGTGCCCAGCTCCGTTGTCAAGAGTGATGGGAACCGCTGCACGCGCAACTGCTTCAATTGCCCCATCTGTATATCGCCCTTGATCGTCAACGTGCTCGACAATCCAGACAGGCCTCCTGGCACTGGCGACCGGCACATATTGGCATGTCCATACTGCCACTGGAGCACCATCGAGACGGGCATCGAGTTTGAAAAGCACACAGGCGTTTATGCACAGATTTCACGCATAGCCAATGGCGGCAAGCCGATTCCCACACTAAAGGAGCGTGACAAGGAGCGTGAGAGACGGAAAGACCACGAGGCCAGGAGCCGAGAGACCGGATTGCCCTCGTCTCCAACAGACGACTTCATGACAAACCCAGCGGATTCCGAGCCACTGAGCCGTGAAGACCTCTTCTCCAATCTCAGCGCCTTCTACAAGTCCCAACTTGAGGCCCAGGCACCGTCCAATTCCTTGTTTGCGGCGGGCGACATGAATTTCTCGTCGCCCTCTGCATATACGCGCATCATGAATCTATACTCCACAACGACTGCAAAGAAGCAAAAGCGTAACAAGCCTTCACCGATGCGAGAAGCTGCTTCAGAGCTGGAAGGTTTGGCCATCCACGACCCAGCATCTGATATCGCGGCTATTGAGCGTATTAAGAGAGATGGTTGGGCCTCCACTCTCTCCACCACTCAAAAGCTTGAGCAAATCAATCCTCACATACGTTTCGAAGATGAACTACGACCTGTGCCTACACTTCTTTGCACTAGACGCACAAAACGCTGCCGCTCGTGTCGTCAGATCGTTGCTAAGCCAGAATCCAAAATAACTTCGACTCGGTATAAAATCAAAATTCTCGCCCTCAGCCACATACCACGCATAAGCATTCGTGCACTACCCGCTACTAACCCTGGCCAACCAAGCACCTCTGTACAGTCACCCGCTATCAACTACACTGCCTTGAGATCGGGTGTTGCTACACATTTTCTACTCACCCTCAGCAATCCTCTTTTTGACCCGATTCGTGTTACGCTGGCGACGTCAAGCCTGACACCCGGTAAGGTCCAATCACGGGTCACCATTTTGTGCCCGCAATTCGATATTGGCAAGAATACAGACGTCTGGGATGATGCTCTCTCGTCTACTGTAGCTCCTGAGCGTCGTGGCTCCCTGCTCAATGCCGATGGACAGATAGAGGCAGGCAAAGTCTGGGACAAGGGCCGTAATTGGACTACTGTGGCTATTGAAGTCGTGCCTGGCTTTCTCAAGCCGACAACTGGTTTCGGATCAGTCGAGGAAGAGCTCGATGAAGACGATGATTTGCTTGAGATACCCATTTTTGTGCGGATTGAGTTCGAGGCTGACATCAATGCGGATGAACGGGGATTGGGAGATTCTAGAGGCTCAAAGGGTGAGAAGGAGAGAAGAGAAGAAGCGTTCTGGACGGTAGTGGGAGTGGGAAGGATTGCACCCCTGTAGATTGTGACGTTGCTGCACTGTTCTACTACCCCTGGCATCTTTCTTCCATGGAGTCAGGCTATGGATCTGCCATGTTCAACCGCGTCTCGCAGGGTCTAAATTCAGATTGCGCACGATTGCATTTGTCTCTGCAAGCATTGCCAATGTTATTATCCGGGTAGCTGCATTGCACTATTGGACCAACAAGTCCAAGTCATGTAGAGGATACGTAGGGCACTATTTGTGCACTGACATGGTAGGAATCCAAAAAAGAGGTGTCAGTATCGATGTATATACTCAGCCGAAATGGGTATGGTTTGGAGCCACTTCTTTCTCTTTCTTCTTCTTCCGGGTGACCACACTGTCTAAAGTACCCTGACTTGCTTCTCGTTTGTGAGTTGGCAGTTTTGTTTGACGGGTGACCTTCTTCTCGCTTTTTGCTGAGATCTTTCTCGTAGCTTTGGGATTTGGTGCATCGTCCACGGGATGATTTTCTTCGTGCCCTTCGGCGTCTTGGTATTCTACCATGACACCAGGTGGGCCTTCGGTTCCTTCCGTTGGACCCTCTGCGCTGTCTTTAAACAATTGGCGCCAGCTTCCATCGATGACTTTCGGATCATTGCCATATAACCCCACATGGTAAGCATTCTTCATGCCATCAAGACAAATATCTCGTCTTGTAGGAAAGTCGAACATGGGTTTCGGATATGTTTCTCCCTCCCCTTTGGCGACCGACAATCCATCACCCTCGATCCGACAGCCCCACTTCTTCTGGTCTGCAATTGGGGCTTTCCAAGGCTCATATATGTACTTTTTATCAAACTTCGCCAGCTCTGGTACGTACCTCTTCACGAATTCTCCCTCTTTGTCCCACTTTTGAGGGAAAGCAATAGGTGAGTAACACCGGAAGAATTGGGCAAAGAACGCTGTGCAGCTCAGCCACTGCCAGTTCCCGATATTGCACGCAGCTTCGTGGTCAATGAGCCACTCTTCAAAAACCTCTGCACCACGTTCCCAGTCGATGTAGCAACCTCCGCGCGTAAGGAAACAGGCCACAGCGTGTCTACCAAGATGGTGTATCCAGCCCTCTCTCTTAAGCTGACGCATGAGCGCATCGATCCAAGGGAATCCGGTGCAGCCCTCCTTCCAGCGCTTGAAATGAATCTCTGCCTCTGCGTCATCAACAAGGTATTCGCCTGTGGTCATGCTTGACTTGATGTCGATCTTTGACGGAAGATGCCATGGGATGAATCGACATTGAGGGTTGTTGTAAGTTTGGCTGAAAGAGTAGCCCAACGCTGCTTGTGCACCAAAATACATGTCTCGAAATAGGAGTTGGCCTGTTAAACTCGTAGGTGGTTGCGAGGCCTTGCCCTTGAACCTGTCGACAACATCCTGGACGCGCCAGTAGAATTCACGGCAGCTGAGGGAGCCGAAATGTAAATGTGGAGAAAGGAGGGTAGTCGCTTGAGGCTCAAATGCTGTCGGTGCTGTTTTCGGCTTCTCGAACGTTGCCGTATACTCCTCGTTTGCGATGATCTTTTCTAGTGCCTCGAGTGCAAGGGTTTCGCCTCCACGGTGTGTGGATGTTGCAAGCTTCAAGCCTAGCTCCTTCATTGTGGGTACAGCAAAGTCGCCGTTTGGCCCTGCGAGCGAGGAATAAGAGGCCTCATCTGTGTTCCGCTGGGCATCATTGATATCTGGACTGTTGGACGGTTTCTCTTGGTGAAAATCAAAGTCAACCTTTCCTGGGCCGGGCAAAGACTTAGGGGCTGGTATGGGTCGTGGGATCTGACCAATTTTCTTGCCTGCTGCCTGGACTTGATTGATACTCATGGTTGGCTTACCATGATTCTGCCTGACGAGCTCGTCCGGATCATATAATGTCCGTCCGGTCTTCACTACAACTTCAACACCCGCTGTCTTCGCCAGTTCCATAACCTGTTCATCTCGCTCTCTTCCATAGGCATCCGTATCCTTCTCAAACACCAAATGCGTAATCTGCCAGGCTTTGAATAGTTTGGGAAACAGTGTCTGAGGCGCTTCTCGAATGACAAAGAGTTTCGATTGCGGGTTGACCTTTGTGATAGACTTGGACAAGTCCTTCTGGCAGTCGAGCAAGTATTGCCATCGATTGGGTCCTACACGGGCGCGGTAGACATAGTGGGGATCCCAGGTCCATATGGGATAGAGACAATCTGGTTTGAGGTCAAGGGCTGCTTTAAGCGCTGGAGAGTCGTGCAAGCGTAGATCGGTCCGAAACCAGTATATTACCCGCGGTTTTGACATCATCAGGATTGTGTATTGGTACTTGTGGGGGTTTTGGAGTGATGAAACTATCATCCACTTTGGCAGTTGTAGAAGACGATGAATACGACAGGTTGAAGGTTGAAGTTGCGCGTCAGATCCGGGACATAGCTCCACCATGGCTTGACCAAAACGTCTAGGATTACGCATGGCCGGAATGCATGCAGTCATGGATCGGAGCTAAGATTTCGCTAATCGCAAAACAAGATCCCTGCCGAGCCAATCATGTCGTAGACAGGATGATTCTGTCCATACAGCCCTCGAATTTTTTCATGACGCCAGAGATCGTATTTTCGGCAAGAAAGCGCTGGCAGTAGGTTTGAGGTATCACCAGCATCAATGGTGTGAAACTGCAAGCCCTTGACATCTGGTGATCAACATGTGAGGACCAAGCTGTGATGTTGAATGCGCCATGAGGATTTCTGCGATAATATGGTACTAATCACTCGTTGTCTTAATTCACTCCAAGCGCCTTAAGACTACGGAGCGCACTGTACAACGAGAAGGATCCTATTTCTCGTTATTCTTCTCGTCAAGGCAAATGCATAGTGCTGCTATCAGAGCCATATCCACGCCTGGCGCAACCTGCACAGCATACGTTTGTTGTCCAAAGAAGACATCTTTGCTGCTGAGAAGTTTGCGGTCGATGCGAGCGACTATGATATCTGAAGAAGACCAGCAAGTCAGTGTACATGATCATGACTAGTAACAGTAGTAGCTCAACACCCATGGTACGGTTGTGTAACAGTTTCTTCGTGGGCAGACTTACCGCCTTGTGCCTCGTCAACAATGTCAGCCGTAGTGTCGAACCAGTTTCCGTGCATGATTAGCGTCTCCGGGCGCCCATTTTGCGAGGTGAATGTGGCTGTGGCTTTGCTACCCACCACTGAAAGGTCAGAGTCAGTTCTGCTAACAAGTCCCGCACGCGATACATGATCGGGAATAGAGTACTGGAAGATAGTGGATGTACATTTGAAATGATTCTTCACCATCATGATTACCTCGCCGTTAGGGCCTTCCACCTTGAAGGTCGCATGAATATGTAGATGCTCCTTTACAATACTGAAGAGATGGACTCCAGCCATATCGGTCACCTTTTTGCGGCCGGAAATGGACATGACTTTGCCCTCGACCTGAAGAATGGGTGCGCCGTTGATGGTTTCAACTTTGAAACTCTTCAGCATATGTAGTGAGGAGCGGGACGAGATCGGTATTCAAGGGGGAGAGAGAGGCCAGGAACATACTGCTGAAGGAGTCACCCGTTAGCGAGAGCACCTTTTCTTTCAGCACAATGACTTCAGGCCTCTGGGCAAAGAACTGAGGGAAGACGCCAATGGGCTGGGAAACTGGCGCTAGAGCAGTCATGCTTGCGCTGAGTCGTGACAATAAACCAAGTGATGTGGAGTCGAGTGGGCAAGTATATTACTGTCGTTCAAAATCTCGTGGGCTATGGACAGAGGAGAGTGGTACGGTAGAGAGAAGGTTTCGGATGAGAACACAGTGGCAGGATTGGCAGCCGATGGATGTCGGTCGCTTCTCGTGCCAGCCGAAGGTACCGGTAAGATTCATATGCGAACTGGTGTTTAGCCAGTTGCGAGGTGATGCTTGCCTGCAACCAAGACTTTACCCCGCAAACCAGAGGGCTACCTACCCAAAGTCATGATCGCTGTTGAGCCAAGTCTGAACCATACGTCATTGATCGGCCGGCTGAGCCGGCTGCCAACAACCAACGGCCAGCAGCAAGTTCACGCTTGTACTAGTGGAGCAATCCCACATGTACACGTACGAAAATCGATACAACTAGACTAGGGTTAGGATAAAGAAGCCTGCATTATACCGGGGACAAGGCATTTAGATGGTAGAAGTGCAGGAGAATTAGATTCATGATCGCTCATCGCGAGCAAGATTACAGGAGGATATGTAACGGGGGTTTTAGATACAGAGTCGAGCGGCCCCACGGAGGAGGTGAGGAGTGGGGGGTATACAAATGACGCCGCTGACAGATGCGAAACCGGTGTGAACAGACGTCGGTGAGCCGTCATGAATGTCGTAAATATATCGCAAATTGGTAGCGGCAGGAAGAAACAGAATGGTCAATGTACAAGAGGGCCGAGGCTTTTAAACATTCTCTGTGAATCGAGAGCTTCTCGAACCATCTGCAGAGTGCAAACTCCTGCCCAAAGTGCCTCTATCAGGAGAGCCCAGATTGGGAGACTGTGGCGGACTGAGATAGGTTTTATCGGCGAATGGGTCCTCATCAGGGTGCCGTATAACGGGCGTCCTGGCTGGACTGGGTCTTATGTTCATTTTGCCCGATTCTCGAGTCGTATGGGCGTCTCCAATTTCTTTCCCAAGTTCCTTGGCTATGCCACCAGGACCCCCGTAGATGCCATGATCGTCCTGATAGAAGGAGGAGCCAGAAATTGTTCCCCCCCTCGAGAATTGTTCTGAAGTCATGCCCTCACTAAACGCAGATGGAAGCTTGCGACCCGATACTCGTTGGAAACTCCGTTCACCGCCGCTCAAGCTTGTCTCTGCGGTAGATCTCGAGATGCCGGAAAAACGTTTCAGGAAAGCAATGGGTGCAGCGCTGTTCCGTGTAGGCGCCTGCGTCATGGACTGTTCATGCACGGCAGGATGATCGTCACCAGTGAGCTGCAAGGCACCTTGCCTCTTGCGTTTGTGACGCCGGAGGAGAAGCAGTATGATAGCAAGGATGAAAGCGGCGCCAGCGAGGCTGCCCACCACGCTACCCACCACTTGTGGCGTCTCCAGGGGTGCAGAGGCAGATTCAGTGTCTGTAGAAGCTGTGGTGGTGGCCGTAGTAGAAGGAGCCGTCGGACCTGCAGGCGTGTCCAAACCGCCGACCCCAACGCCTACAGCGGATGTCGATGTTGCCGTATCCGATACGGTCTCCGAGCTTTCAAAAGGGGCATTGCTGGACGATCTCGACGCGGATGGACTGTTAGACGAAAGCGGGATTAGAGTACTAGATGGTCGGGATGCTGCAGATGGGCTGTCCAAAGAAAGGTATGGAGAAATGGAGAAGGCAGAGGACGGAATCGACAAGGATGACGTCGAGTTGGAAGACAGGCTGCTGATGGCAGGAATCGGGGTAGAGGACCCCCCGCTACTCTGCGGGGCACTATTTGGTGATGATACGACAGCGGCCGAACTCGAGCTGCCTACTGATTGCGCAACAGGAATACCTGAAGGCCATGGATAGGCAACCACGCTGGGAACCACCAAGTTGCTAGGGAATGGCGGGACAGCCGGGACAGAGGGCAAAGCCGGGGCGGCCACGGTTGGAACGGCTGGTTCAAGGGAAGGCTTGGGCACTGGCAGTGCCGAAGGAGGCAGTTGTGGGGGTAGTGAAGGTACGGGAGGTGGTGGGTCTACTGGCGGTGCGGAGGCTGGTATCACGGGTGCAGCAGAGGCAACTGCTTTGGCAGGATCTTGATTGGCAGGTTGACTGGGGCTGAGTGTATGTGGTGGTTTCGTCTCTTGTGCGAGTGTGTGTCCATTGGTATCCACAGTCGCAACCACTTCGACATTGACCGTCACAACGCGGGGAGAGGCCCTGGCTGCACGGCGGTGGAACCATCGGTGATCCTTGGTCATGGTGTCTCTATTGACGGCTGCGTACCAACAGGGATTCCAGCGTGTGGGAGGCGAGTGTGATGGGTGGATGGGACATGAGGTTCAAAAGAGAGTAGCAAGTTGGCTTTGGTGGTTGCAAACGTTGTCAAGGAGCGGTGTTGGCGGTGATGGCCGAGTCGAGAGGGTCCAGTCAATGGATGGATGGGTCAAGCGTTGTGCGGTGGGTGGAGTGAATGTCGAGAAATGAATGGACGCCGGTGATTGGCCGGGCAAGGAGCGAGTGGTGCCTTTTGAGGGGGAAAGCCATCAGTACTGGCATCATGACAGAGAGACGACAAGAGGCAATGGCGAGCGCAGACATACCTACGTCAATTTGGAGAGCATTCAAGTCTCACAGCACGAGGATCTCGCCGGGCGCGGGTGGGTTGGATGTTTTGGTGATTTCGATGTCGATGTCGACCGTCGCGCAGAGTCGCAAGAGGGGGGCGGAGGGGAGGAATTGCGACGAGAGACAAGACGACCCATACGACCCACAGACCCACAGAGTGCGGACACACGGACCACACAAGCACGGGTGTGCGCGCGCGAAAGAGAAGAAGAAGAAAGAAGAAGGGGGAGAAGGGGGAGGACGGGAGGAGAGAGAGAGAGAGAGAGAGAGAGAGAGAGACAGAGAGACAGACTAAGAGAGCTAAGAGAGCTAAGAGAGCTAAGAGAGAGAAAGAGACAAGAGGGCGAGACCACACGGGCTAACTAGCGACATGAGAGCCATCACCAGGATGGCACGTAGATAGTTAGTGTGTATGTGTGTTCATGTCAAGGCGTGGACGTGAATGTATTGAGGATACGGGGGGCCCTGCACAAGCTCTCTTCTAACAGCCGGCTGGGCGTGGCCTCTGATTGGCCTGGAGCGCGAGATTGCTTTGGTTGGCCAGCCACCATGTGCACCCTGTGCAGGAGGATACCCGTCAGTCCATTGAATACAGCGAGTACAGCAAGCACAGGACATGCAAATAATACAGTACATTACAATACAGTCCAATACAATACAATACAACATCTTCCCCCACAGACCCGCCCCGGTCCCCGAAATAGAAAGATGCACCGAACCCAGGCGAGGACGGACAATCTGACGCCCCCGTCGCCTCCACTGTCCAGGCTGTTTGCCATGATCCTTCACATCACGACCCACATTTGGATTCCTTGCGGTACCCACACACAGTATTGCCGCTTGCGTCGCTGCAAAACACCAAACACGACTTTCCAATACTCCATCCTACCCGACCGGTATACCCTACCCGACCGATGGACACATGGTCACTGTGCCTACTGTGTACCTACTGATACTAACCACCACGCACATGATCCCCGGTAAGCTACAAGCTAGAAACAGACATGTCAGGGGACATGTACTGGGTTATGCACCCTCTACCTGAAGGGGAGGGCCACTTGTTGCTGCTCTGCTAGAGTACTAGCTGTATACCTACACATCCCCTACAGCCTACCGTCCCGCCCCTCATCTTACCGGACATGCAGGCCCCCACGCCTCACGACTCCCAGCACCCTCTTCGCAAGTGACCACCTTCTTCCTGCCTTTGCGTCGTGCTTGCTTCCCCTCGTACACGGCTCGTGACTGACTGCCATGTACTGTTGGATACAACCTGGCGTGTTGCCATCCCTCTTGTAGGGAGAAGCCATGGCTTCGCTGAAGGGCACAGTCGGTACATGGCAAAGCTGGCGAATACCTACCTACTCGTATGTGACCGTACATACTGGGAGCGGCGGCGCGGTTGTGCCTATGCCTACGCCTATGCCTACGCCTATGCCTAGGTACGGTACCGGTAAGCCTCATTGGCCAGCCCCAAATGTGGTCGCGTTTGACACCCCCCCCCGCCTCCCCACCTCTGCCCCTCCATGAAACCGCCGCTCTCTACGTACGGTACTGAGAGAGCCAAGCTACATGTGCGGCTATGGATTCGCAGACTACAATGGCCCATTGTCTCCAGATACAGTTCACCTACCCGCTTGTCTCACACCTGCTTTCCCGCTCTGCCCAAGGGAATTTCTCCACCTCCCAGAACGATGACGCTGCCCGAGGGTCAACCACCTGCACAAGAGAGTACCGGCAACCGTCCGAGGCCGCCACCACTCCCACCACGCGACTCCCTATCTGCAGACACACCTCCGCCCTACTCAGTCATGGCCACACCCTCATCAAAGGATCCACGATCTTCCTCTACCCAGAGTCTTGTCCCCGATGCTTCTTCAGATACGGCTGGCCGTAGACGCCTACTCCTCGTCTACATCCATGGCTTCATGGGCAATGAAACAAGTTTCCGCAGCTTTCCCGCTCACGTCCACAATCTCGTGACAATCACCTTGGCAGAATCTCACGTGGTGCACACCAAAATCTATCCTCGCTACCGGTCGCGACATGCTCTCGACAGGGCCCGAGACGACTTCTCAGCATGGTTCGGCACGCCCTTCACACCCAGGTACTGCGCTAACTTCCCGCCAGGCTAGCTCCGCACGAAGACCAGTGGACGGATGTCATCCTACTTGGCCATTCCATGGGCGGTCTACTGGCCGCAGACATTGCACTAGTCTTTCGCCATCGCATCGTCGGTATCGTCAACTTTGATGTTCCCTTTTTGGGAATGCATCCTGGCATCGTCAAGGCTGGTCTGGGAAGTCTATTCAGTCCAGCGCCGACGCCTCAAGATGCCATCCCCCCAGATCCAGACAGCGACAAGAAGCCCAGCAGAATGGGCACCCTCTTCAATCCAAAACCATCCGATCCCAATTACAATCCAGCTTTTCCCAACGATGTCCAATTACCCATGAGGAAGGGATGGGACAGCACATTGCATTGGCTTACCAAACACTACAATGATGGCCTGAGGCAAGCAACAAAAGGCCTCGTCAAGTCTCACTTGGAATTTGGCGGTGCCATGGCAGACTATCGGGAGCTCAAGGAACGGTACGTCAAGATCCGTGCGCTGGAAGAGGAGGATGACAAGCAACGAGCAGTAGCATACGCTGCTGTGCGCTCGGTGCCGCCGCGTATACGCTTCGTGAACTACTATACCGCAAGTACGGGAAGACCCAAGAAGCCAAAGTCTTCCAAATCACCAAGATCCCCTTCGCCCTCGAATCATCGATTGTCGCACAATCAAAACAGTAGCCTAACCGGCCCATCCAAGGATTTTACGGAATGTAAGGAAGGACTGGCTGCAGGTCAGCAGTCGCAACACGACGTCAGCGATAGCGACTCTATCACATCATCACAGATCGAGATGACCCATATTCACCCTGAGCCCATGGTGGAAAGCCCGCGCGCTTCATTCAACGAGCAAGAACACCGACTTGAAAAAAGCAGGTCTGGTGATACACAGCCATCTCCTGTCGTTGCGGTTGGGTCGGGACACTTGTCTGCAGGGGCACCCACTGATGCCCCGAACCTACCAGAGATTCCTCCCATACCCAAAGAACCGCCCTTTGTCGATCTGATGCAACTCACAGATAAAGCGGGGCGGAAAGCAGCAGAGAAAGAGTATGACCGAGCGTTGAAGCAGTATCAGAAATCTGTAAAGGCGCGCAACAAAATCATCAATGAACGTACCAAGCTGGAGGAGAAATGGGAAAAGCGACAGGAGCATGACCGAGCAGTGGATCAGAACAAGTCTGCAGAGACGAAAATGAGAGAGGCTGAGGCTGGACAGAGACAAGTAGAAGCGGACCAGAGGCAGAAAGAGGCAGAGAATAGGATGACAGATGCGGAACGTGAGGCAGCCGGACTGAAAACACGACCAGATCCAGAAACGGCTGCAGGCCCGAGCCGGGGTCTCGAGGAAGATATGGACGCCGTCGTTGACCTAGGTGCCCTAGAAAAGTCTGAACAGAGCTCTCAAGGCCCGTACGCCCATTACGACTTTTCCCGTAGCGCAATCATGCGCCAGGCTCCTCCCGATGACCGCGCTTCTCTTACCGACTCAGGATATACCCTATCAACCACGAATAGCCAGGCCAGTTATCTGCCAACAAATCGCAGTGATGGCGGTACTCCTGCCAAGCCCAATAAACCAAAGAAACTCGGTAAATTCTGTATGCTGCCACCGAAAGATGATCAGGGAAACAAAGATTCGACATGGGTCAGGGTGTTGATGGAAGGCATGGACGAAGTGACTGCTCATACTTCCCTATTCTTCGTCAACGATACCTATGAGCGATTAGTCGGAGACGTTGGAGCGAGGATCGAAGATTGGATTAGGGAAGCAGATAGTGTGCGTCTTGTGAGGGAGATGTCTGGTTTGTAACCATTGCCCCCCTTTATTTCGTCTTCTGTGCTTGCCTACAACCCTCAGATACCCTCTTCGCAATCAATGTGGAAGAAAAGAAATACCAAAATGATGTAAACTGCTCAGGATGCAGGTCTCACTACTACCCACTCTCATCCCCCTCGTACTCAAAGAGCCCCCATCTGGACCCAATACCAAATCCTCAACCCCACCGCGAGCACCCAGACCGCATTCCCCCCCTCCATCCACCACACCAGGCCCCCAACCCCCCAGCCCACCACCAACGTGCCCAACACCGATACCACCTTCTCGGACCCTTGAATGGCCTCGTTGAACTTTTCAAGAAAAGGAATACGCATCTGCGTGCTTTTGTTCCAGAAGCGGGACATGTAGATTGGAGGGGCGAAGAGAAGAGTGGTGTTGACGAGGGAGACGAGGACAAGGGCTTGAGGGGAGGCATAGGAAGGCAGTAGGAGGAGGGTGGTGGAGGAAAGCAAGGAGAGGGGAAACTGAGGAAAGTAGTCAGCAAAGTTTTCCTGTCCTCTCATGATCATGTCAAGGCTGCGCGCGCCGAGGTGGTTTCACGCAAAGAATAGGCAAGACTAAAACAAAGATCATGAAGCGGAAACGAAATGATGAGATTCACTTACACTGCCCGTCCCACTACCCTGCGTTGTCCTCGTCTTGCGTAACCGTCGCGCAGCCGTATTCGACCATTCTGCTGCCTTTTCGCTCGTCTGTTCGTACCGTTGGAGGCGGGTGATGTTGTGGTAGGAAAGATAAAGGCCGTAAGCTGATAGTCTGGGCCCCCCCCCCCCCTCCCACCCCATGATGGACAAACATCAGCATGATGTGTGCAACGGCAATTCCCGGGCTTACTTACGCAGAGCTGAATAGTAGCTGAGAGATATGTTTATCACGTGGAATCGCGTCGGCCATGGTTATGGGCGATCTACAGCACAGTCGTGGACGTTCTTGGACCTGGTATCGCATCACCGTTCGTGTCCACGAAAGGTCGATGAATCGACGTCATCGCTTAGCTGGCTGGGGCCACCACCTTGGTCAGGATCTAGCCATCCATGCTCCAGCCAACATTTCATTTGAATTGATCCCAGGAAACCCGGTTTTGCGATTGAAACCATATTCAAGATTGTATTGATAAAACGAGCGGCGTCTCATATCTTAGCTCTCTAGCTGAGCAACCCTTTCCAAATCTACAACACCAAGACAAAATATGACTCCGAAACATCAAAGGAAAACCAGGACCAGAGTCAATGATACGTGAAAGAAAGTCGAGACCACCCCGAGAATGCAAAAGATTCGCTGGCTGAACAATACAATGAAGAGGGCAGTGCCTGAAAAGGAAAAGGGAGTGTACCATGGTTCCAAGCTATGGGTATTGAACAATGCCGCTGATGCAATATAACGCCAATCTCAATGCAAGCGGGATACGAACACTCCGATGGATGATTCTGAATCCTATGCACCTTCTCTTCCAGTATGACGCTTCGAGCGGCTCAAAGCCTCCTCAACGCCGTGACCATGAGGCTTTGGCAACGTTAAAAGCAGGCTTTTTCAAAACTTTTCGCGGCTATGTTGTGGTGTATGATACAATGCCATCGTTAGCACGGTAATGCACTTCTTCACGGGCTCACCCATGATTTCCTCAGCGTCTCCTCGGTGCTTCCATTCAATCAGGACAACTCACGCACCTGGATCACTCACTTTGATCCAACAAGCAACTCTGCCCCAGTAGCCTTGTATCCGAAATCAAGAATCAGTGTCCGGCCATCTTGACTCGTGGCTACGACACGTCTGTAATCGCTCTTGGCGGACAGGATCCAACTCGTCGTCCAGTTTTTGTACGTGGCAAATGTTTGCCCCGTCTCGTAGTCCGAAACCTGAATCGATTGGTCATAGGAGCCGGACACGATGCGGCCATTGAAAGCGTCTAAAAACAAGGAGCGTACAAGACCCTCGTGCTTGACTCTACTATGAACGAGCGTGCCAGTGCTGGCATCAAATTTGTACACGACGTGATCGTTTCCACCAGCAAGGACATACTTGGTGTCGTCGGAAAACTCGACAGCTGCGAGACCGCGATCCTCAGAAGGAAAGTCTTTCTTGGATTCGCCGGTTTCCAGATCCCAAAGTTTGGCCATGCCGTCACCACTGGCCGATACGAGCTGGTTGCCACGCAACTGGACAGCGTTGACAGGGCCTCGGTGTCCCTTGAGAGTACGTATGCAGTGACCAGTCTTGCGATCCCAGACCTTGATTGTGGCATCCTTGGAACAGGAAATGATGTACTTGTCATCCAAACAGACGTCCAGCACTCCGGCCTCGTGTCCACGCAGGCGGTACATGGGAACATAGTCTTCGCCTGTGATGTCCCAAACAATGCAAGTGTAATCTGAAGATCCGGTCACCATGATTTCGCTGTCATACTGCAGGCACAAAATGGAAGCATCATGGTAATCCGACGGGACGCGGTAAATGTCGTCGCCCGCCTTTGTACCGTTCAGGGATGCGTGACTGATGACCCGTTCTGGACGTTCCTCCATCGTGGGCGGGGTATTCGCACTTGGGCGATGGTTGGGGCCTCCATAGACCTTGAGACACTTGTACGTGTTGAGATCCCACACACGAATTGTCCGGTCACGCGACCCGGTGATTGCCTTGTTCTCGTCAAACTGACAACAGTAGACGCTGTCCGTGTGTCCGTTGAGGTAGATGGCTGCGGGCTCTGCGGCTTTCCATCGTCGATTGATGACCATCCTGGCTTGGAACATTTTCTTCCAGTTTTGGGCGGGCGCTGGATGGGCCCCTAGCATTTTCCCGACGCCTAGGCCACCCATCTGGATGGGTGCGGGAGAGACGTGGACATCGGGCTTGAACTCGCGGAGAAATACGTTACGCCAGACGTGTGGAGAGGCAGCATGCTGGTGCCAACTGCGAGAAACACGTTCGGCGCAGACGAGAGAGGCAGCATCAAGATTCGACAGGACGGCGGTGGCGAGCTCGGCAGGGAGACGTTGGAAGGGATCGACTGCGCGTGTTAGCGTGTTCACCAAAAACCTGCAAGCCGGCATGCACAGCCGATTGTGCACCGGGCCACTCACTCATCTTCTTCTCCGTCACGCTGTCGGCACGGACAATAGGTGAGGCACAGGTCATGTCGACGCCGCTCTCGTCATCCTTGATGTCGGCACCACTCCGCATAGATGGAATCAGTCCATTGAGAAAGCTGGTGGTGTGCTCCTGTTCACGGCGCAATTGGTTCTGGCGGTCCTGGTTCGCGGCTGCAGCTGCTTGTCGGGCCGCAGCTCCAGGACCTGCCTGGCTTGAGTAGGGCGAGGGCGTTGTCAGGGAGAGCTTGGCCACGTCTCGCGAGGAGGCCGAGGTGGAGGGGCGGTGGCGGATGCTGCCCAGTCGCTTGAGTGAGAAGGTCTTGGAGTGTTGGGGAGCTGCGTGCGAGTGCAGCGGCAAGGCAGGTATGCCCGAGTCGTGGTGCTGCAGAGGATGGCGTTGTTGCTCGACGGCAGCGGTCTTGTGTGCACTGGACGAGGGAAAGGCGTCGATGAAGCCTTGCACGGATCCCCGTCGACGCGACGTACCTGTCGTGGCCGAGGAGAACGACGACATGCGCCGCCGCGTCTTCTGGCGGATGAAGGTCCCCGTCACGGCGTCAAACGCCCGCGAGAGCGAGTTGGTGTGCGAGTGCGAGCCCTGCCCGGCGCACTCGGAGCCGTCCAAGCCCTCATTGACGGCGCCCAGGGCCATGCTGCCGTCTTTTGCGTCCAACAGGTGGGAATGGAACGTCTGCGACGCCGTGCGCTTCATGACGTGGGTCGGGCTTGGGCCGTCGTTGTTGTTGTTGTTGTTGTTGATGTTGATGTTGTTGTTCTTGTGGCTGGTGGTGCGGTCGTCGTCTGCAGCAGAGGACGTCTTGGGGCGATACGACAAAATCGAGGTCCTGCGATGCATTGGGGGCTCTGGAGGCGAGAGCCCGGGCGGGTTCTGCGTCGCGTGGGCGCTGCTGTTGCAGGGTGAGGTCCAAGGCGAAACGTGCGTGCGAGTCGGGACGGGACGGGGGAGGGGGGGGGGGGGGG